AGGTCCACTTATCGACTTAGAATACGCAGATGAAATAGCCCTGTTTGGTGAAGACGCTGACAAAATGCAGAGTCTTCTGGTAGCACTGAGCAACAATGCCAGAATGTTTGGAATGCGCTTCTCTCCCTCTAAATGCAAGTTGTTGCTTCATGACTGGTCTGCGTCAACACCTGAACTAAGGATAAAGAGTAAAGTAGTCGAACGTGTCGACAACTTCGCTTATCTTGAAATTATGATCAGCCCTAATGGGTTATTGTCTGACGAAATATCAGCACGGATTGAGAAAGCGCATTTGGCTTTTGTCAACTTACGTCACCTATGGCGAGGGCGAGATATCCGTCTATCAATTAAGGGACGAGTATAGTGCGCGGCAGTCCGTTCTGTTTTAATTTACGGCAGCGAAACATGGCCATTAAGAGTAGAAGACACTCGTAAGCTATTAGTATTTGACCACAGATGCTTTAGAAATATTGCTGGCGTCTGCTGGGATCACCGGGTAAGTAATAGTGAGGTTAGACGCAGATAATTAGGGAATGATGGTAAATCAGTTGATGAGGTTATGAATCTTCATCGACTGAGATGGTTGGGCCACGTATTACATATGCCTGAACACCGATTACCACGACGTGCAATGCTAACCGGGGTAGGGGATGGTTGGAAGAATGTTAGGGGCGGCCACACCAAAACGTGACATCAGTGCTTGAAGTCACTAACTTCTAGTCCGAGCCATGTTGGTAGATGCAGACTACTTGGTGGGGGCCCGCGTGATTATCTGAACCAATGGTTGGAGACTATTAGGGACATGGCTCAGAATCGATCACAATAGAGTAGGTGTATACACTCTCTGTCTTCCCTTAAACTAAGAGATTAAAATCGCTTCATATCTTTCTTTCTATGAACTAATTCTTTCTTCCTGTACTATATCCTTATTGCAATCTTTCTTTTATATATTGCCACCTCTGAATTAACTACTTTTATGAATCCGCTGTCCATCTTGTTGTGTTAATGAGGTATGGCAACTTGGACCGATGCATATATGTGCCTGGTCCTACGTTGTAGCTGACTGACTGAACTGTTAAATACTATACTAGAAAATCTAAATACATAAAATGATGAATTTCATGATCAATGAATGACTAACATTTAGGAATACTGATTATAACCAACAGGAAATACTGAGAAAGGCTGATTATTCACTAAATCATACGGTATTGTGTAATAGAGAACAACGAACGATAACTTATCGCATGCCAATTAAATATAGATTTGAATCTGGTGCAATTACTTCGAATTTGAGGTTAGTTTAGAGATTGTACGAATTAACCGTTTACAAATGATAAGACAGAAAAGATTACAATGACTAGCGCATGGTTCGTAAGCCTTTGTTATTTTAATAATTATACTTCAGTAAGAAACTATACTGATAACATATATAAATGAACTCATTTTTGAAGAGCTCTGTTCTATGAATTTCTATTACTATAGATTATCTTGACTGTCTTCAATTTTAATAGCGCAGTAAAATCACTAAGTTTGATATTATAAAATATGAGATCGGTAGTCTGATACATGTACTCAGTTGATGAAAAACATTACTTAAATAAATTGTCGATGAAGAGATCTACATAAAATTGCTAGTGAATTGAAGATTGGGTTATTTTTGTAAAAACAATAGGTTTTACCACTTATCGTGTCTCATTCCAAAACAAAAAGCAGAAAAATTGGATGGTTGATGCCTTTTAATGGCTACAACGATAACGACACTCACAAAAATAAACTGAACATTGACACAACGATCAAACAGTTAAACTATAGGCTTATTAAACAGTATTTATAGCCCAATATAGATTTGAAGGAAAAAAAACCGCATAACATAAAACAAATCGGAGAATTTCTTCCAATGAATCATTTATTTGTTAGGTAAATACTTTATATTTACTCTCTAAATTAGACAAATTATTACTTCATCACGTCTCTTTCATAACTAACAAAGTTAATCAAAAAACCTAATAAAAGTTGGATATCACAAAACTGTTCGTTCACTTAAGAAAAAACAATATCCATTCTATAATGCATTTCATTAAACATTTCTTCATTAAATCATAACACGAGAATAGAAGTTGAGTGAAAGGTAAATGTTAATTTCTATCCATATTAACAATACTTTATGAGATTTTCTAACAGTAATGTGGTTTTAAATACCCGGACCCCATGGTGTTTGTTGAGTTTCTGTTATTAAAAAAACATCACTTTATGTTTCCATATAATGGAGACTTGGAATTTATCTTCAATAAAAACTTTGCATCATTAGTCATTCTGAAAAATTGCCTGTTAAAGACAACTACAACTTATGGATGACCTTTAAGCGACCCAAAAGTGACATTCAGAATGTCCACTAACTAACCAGGACTAAATGAGTGTTATAAACTGGTGTGAATAATTAGGATTATGAAATACAGTTTGTGATTAGAGTTAGGAATCGAATTTAAGGTTTTAATCACGAACTGACATAAGCTAAACTGCTAATATGATATTTAGCCAAATGGATGAATGAGATTTGCTCCAAAAATCCAAGACATATTATTCTAAAACTGAATGGATACTCCATAAATTACAGTCACGCCAAGCAGACATTAATTAAATTTGGAGCTCATGTACAAACGACATTAACAAGATAACAGACAAATTAAAAAAATATATGAAAACATGATGGAATAGGATTAAGAAAAAAGTTATAACACATTGCCACCAATGATTAATCTCATGTTTGAAAAAAAACCCGTGTAGAATGGTGACAATAACCTAAGGAATGACTGATTATCGACTATTACAAAGAATGAATCATTTTCTCACACTATCTGATGTAACTTGATATGGATAGGAACAATTACACATGGTTAAACAGTTATTGTGATGAGCACGACATTTGGTGATGAAAGTAAACCTGAAACTAGTTTAGCAACTGTGCCATGTAGCACAGTCAATATGGTGTTAAATCGGTCAACAGAAAATTGTTGATTAGGGAGGCCTAGACATTTCCTCAACTTTGAACTATATTAATTATCCACATTTATTTTATTCTCGATATTGAATGCATATAATGTTATCGGTTTTATGTATTAATGATAAGGCGGCAGTCATATTTTGTATAAGCTTAATCTCTGCCTCAAACAAATAAAAGACAAAGGCAGACAATAAAGGTCACAGGTAAAGAGACTTAGGGTCAACTATTCATGTAAATATGTGTAAAATACAAACAAAAAATTTGTCATCTCAAGTTAAATTATGTATCTTTATATTCAACACGATGAACTGTAACGTCTGCTAAGTTTTACATGTCTCTTATAACAGACAATTTTGTGACAAAGAATAGAAAATTCTATAATTGGAATGATGTTCTACAAATTTTATCGCAAAATTCGAACTATTCCAGGTAATTCAGATTTAGTCGGTTCTTTAATGTAGACACAGGCTGATAGTGGTAAGGATTTAAACTAAGACAACTAGAAAAACACTATTAGTGGGATAGAATGAAGTTGAAGATTTTTTGGTAGTCAAGTTCTGTCCATAACATAAAATTGACAGAATATTTTGTAGGAGTAAATCACACATTTTTCTTGATTAAATAACTATCCATGTATTTTGGTGGGACAAAATAGGTGTGTTTGATAAACACAAACGTCTACCATATTCCAAAGACAGAACATCAAAGTGATGGATCACAACAAAATACAGAATCCATTATTATTTCTGTGGAGAGTGAAATGACCAACGCACTAATGTAATCTGTTCAGATTACATCAAAATCATAGTGACGGTCAAATATTGAGCACAACGGTTGTTTGATACTATAAGCATTCTGTTACCAACCAGTAAATTACAGCTGACAATTCCGCTCCACCCTGCTTAGAGTTGAGCTGGATAATAACACTAGATCTTAATGCATATGACTTGGAATCTATAATGGATAAAGGAGTCGAAAAAGTAGCTATTAGATAATGTATAGAAGCTATCTCTGAAATAACCAGTTTGATCATACAATATACTATTGCAAACTAAAACCATGGAAAAATATTGTCACCTGTAAGTTTTCATTATTAGGTAAGACTTACAGGAAAATTATTTTCCGTAAAACTTATGCTTAAGTATAAAAGTGAAAAAGAAATCCCAAGTTGTCTAAAAAATAATGCAACGTAAATGTTGCTAAGTAATGGTATAAAATCAATCAATTATCATCAGATAAATAACTTTGACAACTGAAAAAAGTTAATTTTTGAAGACAAAACATAAAATAAAGTAAGTAGAAAAATAATGACGGGAAACTGAAAACAACCTTTATACGGTAACGTTGGAAAAAAATGGTATACATATCATCATACCGATAATTTTTGATACCATGAAAAAATGGTTTACATATACATATAAAATCATGATAATCATCTTTCATTTAATTATAAATATTACAGAACTTATTAACTTTTGTAGATCTGGAAGTAAAGCGAAAATCGAACAGGAAGAAAGGAAATAATAATACAAGTCAAACTGAAGTTTGATTATATAAATAGAAGGACACATATCAGGCGATAATAAGCTTTCTTAAGATCAATGAGACGACAAAAAACAACTGAATTAATATTTATACAGTGTATCGCCATAACGAAAACCAACGTATAGAACAGAGATGACCAGTTATAAAAACTGATAGCGACAAAATTTGGAGTAAGGAGCTTCAATGTTTCTACATCAGTATAACTGACCAGTACGCAACTATATAAGATAATCAGAAGTAAAAATAAACTCAGGTTTTCGGCGTCTTCAGCGGTACCGTCAAGATTAAAACATGATTCAGAAAAATTGGTAATCACGTAAAAAAGTTTAAAGTACGACAAAATTGTAGTAACAGACAAACTGATGATCCAGAAAACTTTTATCAGCACCAAAGAAGTAAGCATATATGGATAGATATTTGTTCTAGTTAAAGGTACATTTTAATAACTCACCTATAGATTCTGCCAATCGGAGAGTTACGAACGGACAATTGACCTAGTTTGAGTAGATCTGGACCAGCAAAGTGTTCTTCAACTTCCACATACAAACCATCTACAGGATCTATAATTAAGGTTTGAGATTCTTGAACAGAAGTTGAACAGCGTACAAAAATTGTAACATTTGAACGACTAACGTGAGCTATTGGTTTATGATTATCCCAAGCTTCAACATGTAGAAAAAAGACTTGATCATTTAATGAAAATGGTGAATACGAGACATTAGTTAATGAAAGAGTAGAATTCGATGCTACACGTAAAATACCATCATTTTCATCAAGAGTAAAATGCTCAGCGCCATCTCCACCGACAAGGTAATAATGAACCTAATTTTCATTTAAAATAAATAGAGCAAAAAATGATAAAATTCATACAGCATTAAAAAGTGATGAAATATAATTATTAAATTTGTTGAGTTTTAAAAGAAAATTTATTAAGTTTTAACACTACAAAATCCATAAATCACCTGTCCGGAAGTGAATGACATAAGTCATTTGTCATTAGTCTTTATTATTTGTTTAAAAAAGAAACTACTACTGAAATTTAATTTTGAATAAAAAGCTTTAATCAAGTTTTAGATATCGAATTACCAATTAACTATATGAAGAGTTTACAAGTATGTATTATTTATCCAATGGATTAATGTTGTAATACTACTGGTTTAAGTAGATTGTTAAACGTAATATCTTGATGAAATGTAATAAACATCTTTGGTTCCGAATCAATAATAGTCAGTAAAAACTGAGATATCGGTTATATATTCCATGGTGGTCTAGCTTCAATTGACTCATGATTTCAGCTAGTATATATTGCGAGTCAATAAGAGGGGCAAAGATGATGGATATTTATTAAATCCCAAGTATAAACGAAATGTTTAAGTTAGTTGGAAGAATATTCGAATCTAAATGATGGAACAACGATTGTGCACAGTTGTGAGTCGTTTCGGACAAAAGTAACGAGAGGTTAAAAACTATGACAATAACTAAATGAAGTGGATATGAATGCTAACCTCAACTATTAAACTTTATATGGGATCGTTTAGTTGAAAAATACTAAGAAAAATATGTAGAGGTTTTAAAAAAATAATTGCGTAAAGAAATTATATTAATGTTTTTAGTTTCTTTTAAATCGAATCCACTTTGTACACTTCCCATCTATTATTATGAAACATTTTGCTGAAATTGTAATGGAATGAATGTATTTCCTTCAATGATAACCGCTTTAAAAAACTGAGGTTCGTAGCTAACTTTTTCATTAACGCTCCCGACATTTCATCATTTTGCAAGTAACTATGTTGTCATTTATCCATTTAAACACATAAACACCGACACAAAGGTACACTAAAATGAATATGCAACACAATAAAAATGAGATTGTGAAGAGCTAGAGGGGAAAAAGTTGAGTATAGTAAACAAATAAAAAAACAATGAATGAATAAAAATAAGTGAATAACAGTAAAAAAAAGGAAAAGTAATGGGAGAAGCAGTTCAATTAACATTCTTGAAAGACATGGCTCAAAATCGTTTGTAATAGTGCAGGTTCATCAACTCTTTGTGCTCTCCCAAATTCTTATCTTTTCAATTCTTCATGTCCCTTGTTTTCTCTTCCAAAATTTACTTCACTGAATTATACTCCTTGAATAACATCTTCAAATCCTAATCTTTCAGATTACTGCTTATACTTTTACCGCCTCTACTACTATGGGATTAGAATCGACAAATGCATCTCTGTGCTAATGTGATATGACAACTTGAACTGATGTTCGGACGTATAAACGATTTTTTTTCAGTTATAGAAGTTCATCTCACTTCTATGATGAAAATTTTAGAAAATGACAGCCACCAGGTTCTATTTGGAGCCATTTCTGATAACGTCTCAAGCCACTGTGCTGAACAGCCCCAGCCAGAGTCGACAGACGAAAGTCCTGTATAGTCTTGTTTCGTAACACGGAGTAGTGTTGTGTTGGTACTTATACAGTGTTATCTATCTATAGCAATTTGGTATATATATACCGGCAAAACGTGAAAAATGGTACTAATTAACAGCCAACAAATAAATTTAAGCACATTATACATTGAAAACTACTTACAGAGTCATTCAAATCTGGATCTTCTGCCGTTAATTGTAAAACCGATTCGGTTGGATAAGTTGGTAAAAATAGTGTAGATCTTAAGTAAAATGAATCTGTAAAAATCGGAGGACTATCGTTTACATCTGTAACTTCAACAAAAATTCTTATTAATCGGTCAGCTGTAAGACTAGGTGTCCCACTATCTGATATCTCAATCATAAGATTGTAATGTCCTATTGATTCGCGATCTAACGATGCATGATCAGCAAGACGTAGTACTCCAGTTGAACTGTCCACAATGAAAGGTTGACGATTCTGATCTTCCACTTGTGATCCGACAAACTTATATACAATCTTCGCACTCATACCCACATCATAATCGATGGCTTTTATAGTGAGTGGACTGATATAGTTTGGATCACAAGCAACCAAATGATCTTCTAAACAATGACCAACAATCATAGTACCAGCTGGTGAATTCTCAGTAATCCAACCAGTCATACGACTTGGCCCAATGACTTTTGGTGGATTATCATTTACATCGAGAATGCGTATCTAATATGATAAAAGCAAGAAAAAAATGCACAAAAAACCTTTTCTTTAGTCTCATTTTATAGAGAATAAAAAAACATATGCTAAAAATTGTACTACTGAAACAGATTGTAATTTCAACAATAAATAAAAAAATTTTCATTGGCGGAAAACTAAGACAGTAGAATAGAACAGTTGTTAAAAAAATGATATATATGTATATATTTATCGAAATCAATATTTTTACATGGACGGAATAACTTTGCTGTATTGTATCGTAGTCTTCTATACGTGGCGAATTAGTCATTAAAATAATTTACCTATATTTGAGGAACAAAATTAGATATGAAGGAGACGAAAATTAAAGGTATTCTTGTAGTATCAATGAACCAAACGATAAACGACAAACTTCACAATCCACTATACTTAACAACAGTCAATCTCGACGGGTGATGTTTGATGGGGTAGAAGCAGGCTGGAAGAAAGCCAGGATTGCCCAAGACAAGATATAATATCAATACATGAAGTCCGTAACTGTAGGTTTGACCCTTACTGGTAAATGAATATTATCTGGTTGCGGCCCATGCAATAACAGCTATCAGTGTATATGGACTTCGGGTTCAATGGCTCATAATCACTTAAAATGCAGTAGATGTAGTCGTTCCTTATCTTCTTCGCAATCTTGAACTCCAGTATTCTTTCCTACATACTTTTCTATTTTACCCTTTCGAATCATATTCCCAATATTCCGTCTTTCACGTTATCATTATCACTATATTGTCTCAATCTCTGTTACAGCTCACCTTGTTATTTTGATTTCATTGTGCTAAAGTAGCATGGCAATACGGCATAAAACATGTGCGTGTCAGGCTCAATGCTGATGACGGATGACTGACTGATAGAAAATACGCATCGTAATGATTTATTAGTGTGGGTGAAAACATTGTAAAGAGATAAATTAACAATAAGGAAATGCATAAAACAGCAGAAGAGTTTAATAATCTATTATGAGACCATTTATAGGTGTATATAACTACTAAGGAAAGTGTTATTATGGATGACGTTCACAGATTGCGATCGATAGTGACAGTCAAGCAATGATGAACATGATGTGAACAACACCAACATAAAGATAAGAGATAAGGAAAGAAACAAAAAAGCTAAATTTGTTAAACATGACGACAGAAAAGCATTGCTTAAAGTATTTATTCGAAATTCATAAGAATTTATAAGTTACGGAGAGACGAAAAACATTATTTAAGTACTACACAAACGCCTGTTAAACACTTATTGGCAAAGGAAACAACCTTTGAAATATAAACACATGCTTAGTCACATAAAAACGGTTAAGTGAATTTTGGAAAGACTAACACTAGCATGAAAATCGTTGACGAACAAGCAACTGAGTAACACAAAACTTGCATTTAGACGTCTTATCAAGTTCAGAAACATGAATACACAATTCAAACACTTTACGCATAGATCAAATGCATTCAATCTGGTGAATAGATACAAAGCGCTAAACACTGTCAGAAAAGTGAAATACACCTATGTGTGTGTATGTGAAAGTCAACGATTAACTCAGAAACAATACATTAAATATATTTAAACCTTCAACAATATTTTGACAGAAAATTCATCCATCTTAATATGACAACATAATGGTCACACACCCAATAATGAAGCAAAAACTATCCCATCCAGAGTTAAAGAAACAAAGAACAAATATGTACACATTTGGTTGAGCAATAATTAACGTTGATCAAAATAAAAAAAACAGCGTTACCATTGTTATTGTCGTCATAAAGTGGTTGGGATAACATATTTAGTTTGAAAAATAAGAAATAACCTTTTGATTACAAAAAAAGTCATTAGTGTAGGACGGCATTTCTTTTTTGTAGTTTTAATTATTTGCCTGAAGAAACAGGAACAATAATAATGGATGGAAATCAGTGAGAGACTTAGAAGAGAAACAGCGTTTTTCGAAAGAATATTTTTCTACATGTGTGTATCTGGTTAGATACATTGAAATCAACGGGAAAAAAATGAAATGCAAAAGAGTAACAGCTGTAAGGGAAAAATGTTATAGAAAAAAATTAATTGTTGAAATCACACATCCACACACAGATGAACACAATACAAAAAATATTTTTGCATAAATAATTCGTTAATTTTAGAAATAATCACTTTTTGAATGTGGTATGAACTTCGGTTATTGATTATCGAAATGTTTTAAATATTAAATATTTTTATTTTAAACTTAAAAGGGTTGCAACAGGATTTATAAAAGGGTAAATGAATTCGGGAATGGGTAGGGTATTAGCTGAAATCAAGTGTTCTAGTACAATAAAATGAATTATGCTGAAATTAATCATATTGTGTAAGGGCTAGAGACAATACTTATTTACTTGAACGGATTTTAAACGACCGATTAAGTGATTCAATAATAATCCAATCAATTGACTCATTCATAGGTAGACTCAAGAGTAAGACACTTGAAGTTAAATGACTTATGGGGCGTCTAAAGTACTTTTATGTTATACTTTGTGAGACTTTTAAGTAATCCAGGACTGGAACTTTTTCAAATCATACAAGGATGTATGTAGTCAGATTACTCATATCTCAAGTTCAATACCGACAAGTACACAAACGCAGAAACTAATAGTTATCCAATGCCAAAATTTCAGAAAAAAATATAATATTACAATAAATACTCGTATATTACCTGTACAGTCTTTTCAGGCATGTAAACAAGATATGGACATGTGAATACCTAAATTATTGGACAGAACAATTTTCATTTGTATAATGATTCATTAGGTGTTTTGAGACTTTACAATTTTGTATCGACAAATATAAATTTGTGAATCAATTCGAATTCTATTTTCACAATATCATTGTAACAGTTAAAATTTTAATATATTCACAGTAAAGTAATAAATTCGAAATTAACTCAACTTCTCGAATGCATACAAGTTTATCAACAAGGCTGAGAGAATGAATGAAATTGAAGCACAAGTTTTGAATGTAAACCGTAGAAATAAGAATTATTCAGTTCGAAAAGAATCTGTATATTATTGGGAGTTTACCACAAATAAGAATGTTATCTAAGTCCTAAGTATATATCGACGAAATAAATATATTCATCGGTCTGTTATTGACGACTACCATTCTATATTATATCCTCAATAATATGAAACTGTCGTGTCCTACATCAGCTATATAACTTCTAATCACTGAGCCGGAGGTTTGCAAACACTACAGACTTACTGAATAATTCGATACTTCGATAATATTCGTAAATTCAATACATTTTTTGTAATCTATATTCTTCCACGGGGAATATCTCTACATAGTAGTCAAGCTTAAACAATCTGGCTATTGAACAATGACGATATATATTTACAAGCCATCAAATGTCGGCAGTATCAATGGAGAAAAACAACAACACTATACAAAACCTGATTTACAATAAATAATTGAAAACAAACACCAGACGAGCTATATATCTAAACAAAAACAAGAACTAGTATCTACGATTATTATTTATTTCGATAACAGATTCCACATATTTTCACACCATATATATAAGGCGGCTAAAATCCACTTTCACTTTGATTACTTAACCGAAAGCTACTAATTGTTTTATTATATAGGTGGTATTTTTATTTAGTTAGCTGAATAATTTATAAGAGAACTTATGCCGATTTATCATCAGTATGAGTTATTAGTGTGTGAGAGATTTAACACTATTTCATATAAAGGTTATTGAAATATGTGTTTAGTGCAGTTTTTAAAGATGAAAAGGAAAAGAATAAACAGTCTGGTCAATACTAGTAAAAGTATAATGTAGTTACTTGAACAAACTTTGGTATGTAAGCTGATAAAATAGTATGAGAAAGTACACAATGGGATAGTACTCATGTAACATATAATATAACAAGTAATAGTAATATTTTGTAAGCTGTCTACTTTAAGGTGAGATGTTCAATAGCAGGAACTACAAAATTAAACATTTGTGAACACGGTGAACCATGAGAGAATATTTTTTGGCGATTATTTATGCATTTGGATATTATACATTTAATAAGTTTGCAATAGCAGGCAGAAGAATGATTGAGGAAATATGTCTTGTTTTATGTGCGACGCCACAGATGAACATACTTGTTATGTCTTATAGCTCGTTAAATGTTGCATGACAAAGCCACTAATCAGAATACTGACTTATATGACCTTGTCCCTGTGGTAGATTAATGACATGCCAATCAGCACGAGCAGCCTAGAGTTAATTATGAATCCGTCTAGTTCAGAACATAAATATCAGCCTCCACTATATGGATCGTATATTTAAAACATACAGAGTTCATATAAAAGCAGACTAGACAGCATCACAACATAAATTGAAAAATAATAGTTATACAAGATCAAGACAAAAGTGACTGTAAGTGTATTAGATTTTAACTAATAGAAATAGATTGGGAATAAGTTAAGAATAATTAATCATATAACAGTAACCAATAGGTCAAATGAAAGCTTATGATTAAAGGAATATATATATAATCTAGTTACTTAATAATTATCCAATGAGAATATATGTAATAATAGTTCATAAATATAAGTCCTGCAGTTACCATTCATTTATTCTTCGTTTAGATATAACAATACAACAAACAAGCTATTTCAAGATATTCGTTCAGTCAAACGATCTGTCGAAAAAGACTGATCGAAGTCAGTAGTGAATATCAAAAACAGGAAAATACATACCACTAGAGTTTGTGATAACTGTCCGTTTATTTATTGGAAATACTTATATCCTAATATTTCCCATTCAACATCTCATCATGATTTTACGCATTGGGACGTTAAATGATGGTAGTTCGCTAAAGGGATTATTAGCTGCATTAGTGAATAGGTTTTTGGATAAACCATCGATTTTAAAACTGTCACTCCTCCTTGAAGCCTCCAATAAGTGAATTTCATTATCAACATGATTTCAGTTTGCTTGAAAACTAAATATATTTACATGATTCTTGAATACATTAATAAGAATTATAAGTTAGTTTATTAAAAGTTTACAAAGTCGTGGGGTTAGCATACTATTTCATCAATTAATCGAGTGTTACTGATATGACATAGCTTTTTATATCATATGAGTGCAGTGGGCTTTAAACCTATGATTCAAAGATTGAAAACATCTAACGTCAAAGGATTGAAAATAAGTTTTAAAATATTTTCAACTAACTTCGGATAGTGTGTATTTAAAAACACCCTAAAACAATTTTAAGTAACTTATTCATTACGGTTCTCATTGCTAATGATATTAATAAAATGAGTTATCACCCATATTTTACAGTATTCGATAATCTGATGTCTTCCAACGTCTACTAATGGAACAATAATAATGATAATTATTTTATAGAACAGACGAATAGTAGTTTCCAGTGGAATGTAAGAACAATATTTCGTCTCATTTAAGAGAATTACATTTCAACAGTGATATTCACAGTGACATTCAAACCCAACCTATCCGTTTAAACACCCAACATGTTATTTACTAGCCTGTTGAGTCCAGATACATATTAACTTGTCTAGAGGGTATGATGTTTGTATCATTATTAGGAAAAAAATTAACTATCGATTCGTTATTCTTCATTGAATTTTGATCATTATTTTTATTAGTACTTGAAACCCTCTTTAATAATGATTATAAAAATAATCATCATTATTATTATCAAAAGAAATTTCAAGTAGTAAGTACTCAAAAAAATTATAAGAATAGAATAATAGAAATAAAAATAATCTAGATTTGTCTATTTAATTTAACTCTACTTTTCTCTATTCAACTTCTACTCTCATTTGTCCATGTCCGTTGCTCAATACCAATAAAAAATTTTTTCATTTAAATACTTTGACTTTCTTTTACCCCTAAAATTCTCATAAATCTTCCATTTATATATATTTATAAATAATAGAAATTAAGAGGAAATTATGAATTATGGCATGGATTATGATATTTATGATAAGCCTAAAAATTAATTGAAAGGTGAAATAGACATTATTATTATTATTATTATCCATAACTAACTGTTACCAACAATTGGCAATTCGATAGAGTAAAATAAATGCATGACAAGAAAGTTGAAAAATTCTAAGAATTTAAAAATGATTTTATTTTCGATAAAAAACAGAAATAGGCAGAAATGAATAGAAATTATGCAGCAACACAATACAACAAAAAGAGAGTAGAAGACGAAAATATTGAACTAATGAGAAATTAAAATGATACATTTATAAATGGGTCGTATATATATATATATATATATATATATATATATATATATATATATATATATATATATATATATATATATATCCATTTGCAGGCAGTGGGTTTGCAACACCTTATAGAACAGAGGTAATATTCAATGAACTATGTAGATTAACTTCATATTCAACTCTCCGAATTCATTAGTTAAGGCTAAATAGTCGAAAATTCAACATGAGAAGTTTCTTTTCATACGCATTAATTTTCAATAAAATTGCCAACAAGTAACAAAATGGTAAGCATAAACAAGTGTACGATAGTTAACAGTAATCATTTTTTAAACTATACACCAGGTGATGTTATCCTACACCATAAATATATATGTAAACAATAATATTATATATGTCAATACGAATTAACTCATTACTTCCCACCCAAAAATGTTATGACTAACGTAAACAGCTACTATGAAATTATAATAATAAGAGAGGAGAAATACCAACATACTAAAGGTAAATTGTATGGAACACACAAGAAACATTTGTCATATATTGTATGCCTACCTTTATGTCTATCACTATGAAATGTATCACTATGTATATATGCATGTTTAAGTATGTTCTAAAACAAACAAACAAGTCATTGCTGTTTAGTTACAATTTTGTTTCTTGTTCACTCTTTTCAATAATTCCATCGCTGACAAGACAGTATGAAATCAGTCATTTTGTGATATATATATATATCAATGAATTATTGAAATCAATGTCAGCAGTAAAGGAAACACAGAATCTTCCAACTTTTTTATTGACGTGAAAATATTTTCGAATCACTGCATATAAAAACCCTTATTATTATTATTATTATTATTATTATTATTATTATTATTATTATATTTATTTGATTGAGTTAAATGCAGTTTTCTATTAGAAAACTATTTGATTTGTAAATGAAACATAAAAACAAATTGTCCAGAAAAAGAGTAAAACGAAATGAAATAATAAATTGACGAAAAAATAGTAGGAATTGTTGATGAATTAAACGGAGGTTGAAGAAAAAGACAAGCAAACAATAACTTCAACTCATCAGGTTGGAAAGTTCACAGAAAATAGTGTTTTATATGATGACCAATAAATATTATTATTGCTATTAGTATTATGATTCAAATCTGTTTACATTCTAAAGAACGAATTCTATTCTTAGCTATTTACTTTCAAACTGACAACAGATAGGTTTAATCCCCTTGATAATTTAGAATGTCAGAAGACTAAAAGAAAAAAACCATGATAACAATAACAATAATAAAAGAACAAACAATTAATCATTTTCATTACTATCATGCTTACATATTAAAAAAAACACAATAAAACCCATGTGATTTAAGATTCTCAATTCAGACAGTCAGTCGAAATTTTGATTGGTGTGCATTTTATTATACACTGAGGATATTGTCCAGAGCGCAAATGAAAACTTGGTACTGATCAACTGGAGTTACCTGTGCTCGAGAGTTGATCAACTTAACCCAGTACCTATCGCTTTAAACATTAACGCGTTATCTAAATCAACTATTGAGTTTAAATGGCCAGTAACTTGTTCGATGGGCATAGTATTCATTAGTATTAATAATAAAGGTTTGATACTCCGAACTAGACTTGATTAATAACTGTTAGCATATGGTTCCTTAACCGGCAGTCATGTGATGACATTATCTGCGCTAACAACTTGATTAAATTTTTTGGATTGACTGATAATTGGTGATCATAAAACACAAACCCTTAACAATAAAAAAGCCACAGTAACTTTTGGAAATTTGTTATAAACATTGAGGTAGTGTACAAATAAAAACTCACTTGAATTATCAAACGATCATAGAACATATTGCGAATACCACCAGTGCCGACGACTTCCACAACAAGACGATGAAAATCACCATGTGTTTCTCTGTCTAACTGAACCAATGTGACCAACAAACCAGTATCAACAATTACTCCAAACAAATTTATAGGAACATTTGAATTTGTACGATGCTCATACAATAAATTCATTGGCTCGGCCATGACTAATCGAAATGCAATAAAACCAGGTATAGCAGAATCCGAAGTCAATTGGCGTATTAATGGTGCCAAAACTGTATTTGGTGGAACATTTTCATGAACAGTTAAATAAAGTACATCATCGGACGCAAAACGTGGTGCTGGTGCATCAATACCGCCGGGGCCAGGAACGATGTGTATTTTAACTTGTGTATAATTAGATTTTGATACGGGAGTCCCATTGTCACTTGCAGATACAACTAGATAATGTGTTCGTACAAACAGTTTTGAGTTAAGTCCCGGTACTAACTCCCCAGTGTTTGAGTAAGAATGACTAGGAAGTAGATGTTTCACTAAAGTTATACATCCGGTTTTGGGTTCAATAGCAAAGAAATCAGAAGTATCACCTATAAAAAGACAGAAATAAATCATACAGTTAGGCATCAACTTATTAGGAGTTCTCAACTTTCACATGAATCACATCAATAAACAATCAGTAAACTAAGGATAACTACGAGTTATAAAACAAATGAAATGTATCATAATTATGGTTGATTTGGTAGATACATGAAAAACAAAGGTCAATGTAATTAATAACCTAAAGTCTGTTAATTTCAACTCTGACACTTTTCAAAATCATTCACTAATAAATCAATAAAACTGACCATACTTACATATATATCAGATTTTATAAATTGATGGTGATAATATCCTGTAAATGATTAATTTTGTGATGTTTGGAATTTTCGATTTATAGAAACATGAATTAACTATGATATCCACATTAAGTGATAGTTTACAGACTAAAAGATGTTAGATAGTTCCATGAATAAGGACTTTGAATAATGACAAATTCACCAATAAGAAGTGAAATCTACAGACAACTTAACATTCAAGACCTCAGCATTTTAGGGTTGCAATTACGGACAGCTATTTCAAGTCACTGGAAACATTTACTCCTCATAAAACAGACATCATGGAAGTAAATGTAGTGAAATGATATTGTTGGCATAGGTTGAATAATACTTTGAGAAGGCTAATTCATTTGATGTTATTAAATCACAAAAAGTAAAAATGCAATCATTAATAAAACGATGATCTATACATACATGTAATTAGTTAGGATATGTTTGTTACTATGACCATTTAAAAACCGATATCTGGAAAACAAATCTACCATAAACCAACAATAAATATGTGTGTACCAGAATTAAATAATCATAAAAATGAATATTCTAGTAAGGATAATAACCTCTTAGAGAAAACATATAAATATTTAGGGAACAATAATAGATAAATGAGATATTAAAACCAAATGTTCACCTTTAACAATGTTGTATACAATTAGTCCATTATCACTAGAATCTGGATCAAATGCTGTGACACAACCAATTGAACTACCGACAGGACTATCACCTGATACATAAAAAGTGAAACTTCCTAAACGAGACATTGCATCACTATCTAATACGTTTATATTATTAGTGATTAAATTTGAAGGTGTATATAAACCAAGAAACTGTGGAGCATGTTCATTCGCATCTAATATATGTACATAGATGGTTGCGTGAGATGAGTACAATGACACTCCTGAATATCGTACTGCAGCCAATATGTAATGATGCTGAATCATTTCATAATCCAAAAGTCCGCTGACAAGTAGTTCACCTAAAATAAAAAACAATGGATAGGGTTTTACAAAAAGTAGTCATTTGTGATTGTTTTTTGAGGAAAGTTATTTGTTTGAAACAATTAACCTAAAAACACTCAAAGTGAAATATGCATTTTTAAAGAAAGCTGCAACAACAAAATAGCTAACTATAAATGTCATGAATATGTAATGATAGGGAAGAAATACTTCCTAAATAAGCACATCACCTGTTAATCAAGTACAGTTTCATAAATTAATCCGTCTAAATTAAAATAGATGAAGACTTAAACCTTCGAACCTGCAATGGCTTAAACTAAAAAATGGTGGTAAATAAGTATTGATCAAGAATAATGACTATCGATTAGAATCAAAATATATCATTTATGTTATATGAGACTGCTGATTACAACTAACCGAGACATAAATAATTGAAATTATTCCCATAAAGGATTGAATACAATAGTCATTTCTTGACATGTTAAAAACCTGACCACTAAAGTATTCATTATTCTTGAAACATTTTTATTTGATTACACTGATTTGCATAAGAAAACTGAGGATAGTTTTTGACACAAGATCAGTGAATAATAAATACTCTTAGTAAATTTAAGAACTTATTTAGGCAGAAAATCATCCTGTCGAAAACAGTTAATTACTCGCAATAAATGAAGACAATAATCTACTACTTGTAAATACTTAGAAATGTAAATTTATCAAACTACTAATAGTCGTCACGACCAAATAGACGCTTATGTAATAAACCGTTGGTTAAACTTCGTACAAGTTTAGTGGCAGCAAAGATTTGAATGCAGTATTCAAACAGTTAAAATCCAAGTGTTGGAAGCGACAAAAAACAATTTAACAACTCTTATATAAATTGAACAAAGTTGAATAGTCATTAGTGTAGTAGAGTGATTACTTTCTGAGTGAATAGCATTAGGTCGATTATGCCAGCTTTTTGGTGAGTAGAAACATCCATACACCTTAGTTTTTTCATGATATCACTATTCCTAGTACTAAATAGTTTGAAACTAAGAAATAAATCCAACAGCTTCGATAATTTGCTTTTACGCTTTACAGAAATGAGTACATAATGTGCTCTATGTACCCCTTATATTATGAAAAGATAACAGTTACTTATAAATACTTCAAAATTCTGTATGTTTACGTAATTTTTTATCAAATTCCTTTCGCTACCAAGAAATAAATTATCCAAAGGATAAGAAACATCTGAAAGTGTGAAGTAGATTTCATTATTATTTTAAAGGGTTTAAAGAAAACAGGTTAAAAGTGAACTAGAATCACTAAAACTTTCACAAGGACTAACGTTTCACCATACAGACAAATTTTAAATCAAATAAGTAATTTTAAAATGGACATTTTGTTAGTTAGCTGAAAAATAAACCAAAAAGGAGAGCAATAACAAAAACTGAAAGGTCTAATAGTTTATGTATGCAAATAACTTCGTGCATCCTTCAAACACCCGACTCTCAACTATTATGTAGTAGATCGGAACCCAGTTATACTTACAACTATGAAAGCAGCTAGCCTGTAACACAAGGACGAGTAAAACATCAGATACGTGATTATTCAACTAAATTTATTGCATATTAAATAGTGAGATAAACGAATGACATATAATTTCAATAAAAGTAGACGTTCAAGAACACATTTTCTAAATAGTTAATAGTATTTCAAGTAACATTAGGAGAGAAGGGTTGACATAACCAGCTAGAATTACAAACCTTGGGTATACACAGATACAGAACACAATGTATAGGTGAGAACATAACTCGTCAAACAACTATTCTACTGAACTAACAATCAATCAATCAGTCAATAATAGAACATAATTTCACTATGGACTTCATCACTTAAACATATACACACATACATATATATTTCCTTATTCCGCTTATGAAGAATTAAAGAATTGTTTCACATCAAAATTCATCATGAAACTATAGGCAGCATGTTTGTTTTCGTGTTTTTTTTATGCCAATTGTAATAAGAATAATACAACTATAAAAAGCAATGAAGTGGGAAGTACATGGTGGTATTTGTACACATTCATGTCTATCAGACCACTAAAAATAACACTTCTAAACAGTTAACATCAAGGACCGGAATAATAACAACAAAGAATCATAAGTATTCTCTATTAACGGTATTATTATTGTAATTAGTTTAGGTGAAAACTAATCACGAACAAATCTTCCATCAAAACATCAAACTACAGATCTCTAGTGTTGTCGTGATCAAATTTGCTCGAATGATTGAAAAAGGAAGAAAGTTAAAACTCGAAAAACACAACAAGAACTATAGCTGTTGAAAATTAACATCAATAATAAGTAATCACTTATGACTCAATTTTCATGTAAACATTATATATATAATACGCTATTTAGTTCAAATAAAGTTAATAATTGGACTTCTTTTATAGAAAGTATAGGCTTTTACTACCCACATAATAAATGGATGTTGGATGATCCGCATCAGAATCAATCACAGTGGTAAAGGTGTATCCGCTCTTTAGTTTGCTGTATATCTTCAGGTCTAGCATTCCCAAATAGTATTTTCAAACTTAGTCTTGGACATTACCACTACTACTACGACCATTTCGATTCCACTGATATTATTTTTGTTTCGTTAATCTCGCAACGAAACAATGTTCAATCACTAACACAAAATTAATCTTCTGAACAAGAATGTCTTACAGTTCGTAGTCTAGCTTAAATCAAATCGCGATTTCAACTGTGAAAGTACTACAATTTCCACAAATCCACATACTAAAAACTATAATAGTATACCTTTTTTTAATTGTTGAAGTAAAAGACTATAAATGAATAAACAGAGAAAGTACTCAGACGCAGTCCAATAGAGCAAATTACTATATATAACTTCGATAGAAAACTGTCTTTAATAACACTACTTGAGTCAAAGTAAATTCCATCAATTTTTCAATCGTATCTAGTTCGAATTCACACAACAGTGAAGTCAGTATGACTAGAAACCTATAAACATATACTTGAGATATCTAAGTACACCAACTTTTATATGGGAATTAAAAAAAACCCTTTTATTCAGTCAATTTTTTCAACAATAAACAGAAATTGAAATATCATCAAACAATAGTATAAATAGATGTAAGAGTATCTCAGTCTTATATAAAACAATTCGCGTATCGAAAGTCAAGAACAGAACCCTCATACGATTATGGTTATTTAAAAAAGGAAGGTTATAATAATTCAACAAAATAATTCATTTAAATTTTCATTGTTTTAAATCAACAAAATCAGCATACACATTTACAGACAAATTTTCAAAATGAGTAAGCTCAAATTCTTAAGTAAACAATTAATGGGAACAATAATGAAAATTGAAAATTATACATGCTTATAAGTTTTGTTGTCGATATATTAGATGAATCATGGGTATTATTGTCTAGTGTAAAAGTCAGACACTAGTGTAACCTTTAAGAAGTTTGGCAAAGGTAAATATGAGAAAACAGTTAAACAGTGGAAAGGAATACTACACTGCAATATTGTCGAGTTGTGCAGCTGTTTTAAGAAACCAAAAAAACGTCTTAATGCTGAGGTTTGTACATTGAAAGAATGAAAACATGATGTTTAATATTTTTGACCATTGACTACTTAGTAGTAACATTAATTTATATTGAAGCCACCGAATTCGAAATATGTCGATCGCCAATGAAGTACTAGATAAATTAGATTAACAGTTATTGAAGTTGGGTGAAACAGTATCGACTGGAGGTGTGTATTCGGTTACATCAAAGCATTGTCTTAGCAGAAGTTACAATTTTGCTGAACAACTACGACAGTTTGCATTTCACGAAGAAACTAATTTTCTTTAAAAAATCTTAATGCACCATTAAGATTTATCTTCTAAACAAAACCTAAATACAATATTAGCCTTTCATGTTTTCTGTTAGACTATTTTATCATGGAATTAGAAACAGAAAATCTTTAACATTAATTATTGTTACTTCTTTTTTTTCTTCCAACCCTTTACTAAGTTTATAACACTACCCAAAATATCAATTATTCACTATCTCCCCTTCCAGAATGAAAATAAGGTTGTAAATAAACAAAAACACATCAGGAAAAGAAGAAAGAAGCTATGACGATTGGGTGGGTGAATAGTAGAAAAATTAATTAATTATCAAAAAGATTGCCATTATTATATATAAACATAATGAAATGTACTTCATTTCAATCAACATATTTATTATTATTATTATTACTATAAGGAATTTGATACAATGTCAGGAATAATTTTGCATATAGTCTCAGTGAATAGTGATTCATTCTGAAATGAAACTCATTCTAAAGAAACAGACATGGAAATATGAACAAGTATAGAACGGTATAAGTGTGTACTTGGACAGTAGTAAACTATATATATAAGAGAGGCTGAAGTCAAAATTAATCGGGTCAATCAACCAAATAAATAAAATAAGACTTGAATTCTTAAAAACATATAGAGAAATGGTTTTTCTCATTTATCTATCCCTTTCTTTTCACCTCGTCAAACAAAATACACTAATCACCGAAAACAAAATAAACTAGAAGAATTTGCAAAAGATACGTCAAAAATGATTGTATATGAAAAGGAAACAGTGAAATGGTTTAAAATAAAAACATTTCAATGTGAACACGTAATTCTGACATCATCGGAGAATTATAGTAATAAAAGTAAATGTTTAGGATATTTTGTTTGATGTAAAACTAGAATGTTGTAAGGTAAACAGATATAAAAATTCAATAATTGATAGGAGCCTATGAATTTTGGAAGTTTCCTAATGAAAATGAAAATTTCTTGATATTCCCAAAGAATTGATTTTTCAGTATGATCATTTCACTATAATTAAACTCAATGATTTCATCAGCAGTGACTCCGTAAAATGCATTTCTGAAGCTTGATGATCAAATAACAAAATATAGAGAACATTGTAAGTTTTTGTTTCAAATGTCTACAGGATTTCTGATATTAATGATGGAAATAGTAACAGACGTTTAATCAGTCAAAAATAACTAACATGGACTTTAAACATGCCTATCACGTGACAAACAGAAAATAATTAATTGAATGGATGTTATACAAATTTAGTATGCCAAAAAAGCAAAAAACATACTACTCACCAGTATTTTCATTCAAAGTAAACAAATCCCATGTCTGACTATGTTCAACAGATATTATCGAATAGTGTATTTTGTTCATGAAATCTATACCTGACTCTTCCACATACAATCGACAGACAAGACTTCCAATTAGTGTAGACTCTGTTATATTTACATGAATAATTATGTGTTGATGATAATTATCAGTTAGAGATGAATTTTCCTCTGGTTGCGACAAATTAGTAATATTTATATTCCCTACAGATTCTGAAGTGATTGAATGTAGAAGAAATTTCGGACTTGATCGAATAGTCGGTTTCACAGTAATTTCAATCTGTAAAATATATGAAGAAAACATTATGAACAGTTTAATTATGAGAAAAGAACAAAAATATCAGACAAACTCAAAATATTTCGCACATCTGAGTAGTAATAGACTGGTAGCCACATATTTTATACAACTTGATGACCATGTGATCGTGAACAATTTGACAACACTTTTAAATCACTATGCTTAAAGAACAAGGTATGCATAATACACACATATATCAATAACAATCCATGAAGAACGAAAGCACACAGAATAAGATAATAAATTTCGTACTCACAAAAACAATAAGCGAAGAAATAACTACTCAAAAACAAACTTTTAGTACTTATAGCTAAATAACTGACTTAAAAAAGTCTTAATTATATAACACACAAGTTTATTTATTTAGTATACTGTTTATCAGAACATATTCCTAAACAGAGGGATTATACACACTTATTAGCAGGCTATTTAAAGTAGCTAACATTCAAAATGTAAACATTAAAACTTATGAACGCGAATGTGATAAAAAGTATTTTAAGAAAGAAAACAGAGCATAGAAACGAAAGTAGAATCAAGTGAAGTGATGAAATAAGTTTATTATTATTCAGATGAATAGAGAAAATTTTGAAGTTAATAACTACCAACCAATTAGTTGACTAATGATATTGGAAAACAAAATAAGGAGTGAGTATCCAAAGATAAATAAAATTATTGAGATGGAATCAATGCTAATAATGTTATGATGCTGTCAACAGTACGCTAAGAAATGATGAAAAACAGCTGGAAAAGATGGTGAAATTGTAATTCACACTGTGAACATCAACTATCGAAAAGTGATTTTAATTATCGAGATATTCTAAACTGATACATTTAGAATTTCGATTTGCAACGTAATACAATTAACTAAATAGTATATTTACTAGCATCAAAGTAAATCCACCAATCAAAAATAGAAAAGTTAGCTACAACGATTCATCTAAGTTAAGAAATGTTAAACCATTGGTAGAGTGGTAATTACACTAGGTGAGAATATACTTGTAAAAATATCGTGAAAAACCTTAGAATCAGTCATGAATAACGTTGGGTCAGAAAAAAATGAGTATGTATTATAAGAGCGGGAAGATATAATAAGGAACTGAAAAAATTGACACAATAGCAAAAACTAAACATATGAAATATCATTTGAAAAAAATCAAAATAGAGAAATATATTATATCTGTATGCAAAAATTACTATATAAAGGATTGTATTAAATTCGAATGGCGATGAGATGTATTTTTGGAAAGTTTATAAATCTTCATTGACCCAGTTTGTCGTGTTCTCATTTTGCGTCTTGGAAATTGGAATGATTCCCGTCTCGAAATATAAACGATAAGACTCACGACCTTACAGCAACGAGACGTCAGATATAACAGTGGCTGTCCGGATTCAACACTCTGAGATCCTCAAACTAATAATACCACATTTCACAACATGCCTCAGCATATTCACTAGGAACGAATAAGTAATAAATGACTGTTAAACAATACCGATGTCTAAGCAAACCAATATCAAAATAGTTAATGATCAAGGAAAATGAACTGATAAAATCTCTCGATTGTTATGTAAAAATATTTCAAGCGAAATAACTTTTTGTTAATTTACATTTTGAAAACATAAAAACTAATGATAAGTGAGTCATGTGAATTGAATAACGGACTGGACCAGGTTAAGCTGTGGCCCCCAAATGCCCTGGTATGGCTGGGAGTGAGGTGGTCCCGCCCCCTCTCGAAATACTCTCATATGGCCACGCGTATGCAGCCTCTGCCAAGGACGTCCTACTCACTGCCTTCTCGTGGCGGGGTGCTGTTTACGAAAATGAGAGGACGAAAAGCGAATTTCCGGCGCTTTAACCGGGCTCCAGTATCCTGAGGGAACAAATGGCATATGAACCAATCGTTGGTCACCGGCTACCATGGAACTGCATCTCCTTACGATGCTCCACTGCCTTGTAGGTTAGACCTTTAGGTCAAAGGCTCGAGGTGTGGCCCCCCTAAGGAAACCACCTGCTTCGGTCTGGGCACCCGGGTAGTATCACAGCCCACACACAAATAAAATGAAGATAAAAATGATGACGTTTACTGAAAAAGTGTGGCGCATATATATTTAGTGCCCTCTTGTACCAATATTTATGTGTTCAAATAAATGAATAAAACAGTAATGTCAATCTATTTCAACAGATATCAAAATGATTTCTATAATCATTTTGTTGAAAAATAATATTAACTTCACTGGATTTATTTCAATACAAAAAAAGAAATAAACATGAAACAAGTAGATTTCCTATAAAATCTCATTTTGTAAGTCTGGATTCATGTACATAGCCTACTATAAATATGAATACGAAGCAAATTCATGGGCATTGCAATAACCTCAAACTGCACACATACAGAGACATACACGGAAAAAACTATTATAAATTACTAATATTTACCTTGGTAGTTATCATCTCTAAACCATTTGAAACAATCAATAATAAATCATGAACGGGTGACAAATGATATTCTAAATGTTCAGCTAAATAGACAAATAAATTGGTTGGTGTAGAATAGCCAACTGCGAATGGATGATGATAGGAATGATTGGATGCTTGAGAAAAAACAAAAAAGAAAAAGGAAACTATGACCAAAAATAAATTAGAACGTCACTAGTAAATATTTACTACTCAACATAATACGTATACAATATAGTCTCAACTGTAGTATTTTACGTAAACGATTGTTTATTTACACTGAACGGTAACCTATAACCATAATCCTGAGAAAAATTTCTTAGAGTTTATCATAGGTCTATTAAATCACTACCACTTTCAATCGACTAGCCAATAACACAATACACATATACCATATAATTCCATCTAAACCCACTTTCTAGAAAATCATCCACTTCAATTAACATTCATTGAATTATCTAAACGAAAATGATTACTAACTGAATTGAACAATATATATATCACCAGCGACAGTAATGCAAACATGATATCACAACTCACAGTCAACACGAAGAACCTTAAGAAGCATCAATACTAACAACATTATGTTTGGATCTTTAAAATAACCTAATAATAAGATTTAGTCTGAAACTGATTATCTCAACTAAAATTTTCAATGACCGATTTGTGCTTTTTTCAGATACTGACTAGAAATACTACAATCTTCAGTAGAATTAAATCAGTTAATTGATAATTTAATGGACTGATGACATAATTTAGTTAAAATAATATGAAATCTTTCCCCATTCAACATAGCATATATGTAAATTTACGATGACTGGATATAATGCCAACATATGTTCTAGACATCTAAGTCAACAATCACAATAACTGAAGAAAATCGATAGATCGGATAAAACCTAAAACACATTTCGATGAAATGATAAAACTTATTGTTTAAAAATAACACTCATAGCATTGTCTACTAGAAATAATATCTGGATTATTTTCATTTTAACAAGCTGGAGCATATATTATCCATTAAAAAAAACATAATAACAATGTTAACAACAATAATAGTTGTAATTAATGATGGTTGGATGACGGCAAATATGAAGTAAATGAAGTCAAAAATTGAGGAATATTGAAAAATTATGTAAATCAGTCAAAATTCAACTTGAAATTGTAATGATAAATGGAATACGGAAATGATTATGAATTTTGTCTTTACTGAAAAAAAATCTATATGCTTACCAAAAAACAAACATTACACAGTTTAGTTTGTAGTTTTTTTTAGAAAAGAAATAAAACGCAATAACAAAATTTCACTGTGCTTAATCTTAACCGGATGAATGCATCATAAGAGAGATATGCGCTTGGGAAATTCGAAAACGAATTGAACGAAGCGTGTATAGGAAAGTAACTTGGCAATTGTATAGACTATATGAAAAACCGAGTATCGATATGACTATTGTCCGACAATAAACAAACAGCATAAATGCTTTGTAAACTACAATATTTCACTATTTCGCTTTTACGCCACAAGGCATAGTGTGTAAGTATAATCCGGAGGAAATTCCCTACATCAGTCAGGGATTTATTATCGATAAATTGGAAGTCATGATAATTACAGTTGGTATAGAAATATTAATTAATAATAAAATATATACAACAAGGAGTAAAAATAGTAATGAAAAATTGGTTTGAAGAAAAACAGCATTATTTATGAAATAAACTACCGACAATTAATGAGATCAAACGACAGCGAAAACGAGAATGAAAATGAATTATGGAAATAAATGAATGATATTGACAGTGGTGGTCAATTTACTTTCTGTTTTCAACACAACCAACATTCATGATTAGTAACTGTATTTTTTAAATAACTTTAACATTCGATTAGTATTAGTGTTTTATATAGAAAATATTTTTAAAAAGATTTATAGGATCTTAATGAAAAAAAAATGAAAAATATGAACACAATCAAAATGTTATGGTTATAGACGCTAGTCATTATCTTGATTTGATGTTGAATGGGGACTGGAAAAGTTTTTTATTGTTAATTTATGATCATTATTTTTACTAGTCTCCGTCTTAGAGGAAAGTTTTTCGATAATCAGAGTGGTTGGAGAACATGATACGTGGAAAAGACGGACTACACAGAAATAAAATGATCAAACGAAGATTATGCATGGGAATTAAGTAACAGTGTATCTATGGTTTTGGATATCCAACATATTTTCAGGTTATTTAAACATAAATAAAACTCTTTTGTACTAAAATCTAGACTCTTAATTGAAATACAGTTCAATAGCTTAGGAATATATAGTCTAACTAAACACTCATGATATAGCTTTTTAGTTTTGAAGAAGATAACTTCTCATTATTTTTCCTAATGCTAATGAGTCTTATACTAAACTGGTGAATAAATTAAGTTATTAAGTTTAAAGAAATAAGTTAAATATCATTGTTAGGGACAGTCCTTGAATGGAAGTGTTTATTCTTATCCTTAAAAAATTTAATTCACATTAGATTTACCAATAAAAATTCACAAGTATGCTAAATAGTGTCTCATGACTTGCTCAATAGCCATACAAACAGAAGCAACGAATGATAAAGATCGATAATACTTGAACATTCTAAAACTAGAATAATTATATCCTCACAAAATACAATAAACGTGTAATTAAAGGACACAATTAGTAATTGTGAAACTATACAAATAGAAAAAAATGGAAAAATCACGACATGATACACTTTTTAATAAATAAAAAAGGGACAAACTTACTTAAAAGTTCAAATATTAGTCCCATTCCACTGGGATCATAAGAATCATAAACTGAAAAGCTGAAAAGTTTCTGACCAATAATACAGTTGGTATCTATTGAATAAGTGTTTGGTGGTATGGATGTATATTTTATTGAATGAGTACCTTCAACTAATCTTTCTGATAAATCAGCAGTCGGAGGTTTAAGTATACGAATAGAGACAAGCGCTGATTGATCTTTATTTGAACGTAAACTCGGAGTACCTTGATCTTTAGCATATACCTAGAAAATTATTTAGAAAAAATAACAAGAAACATAAAAATCAGTTTTAGGTACTCTTCCGCTTCCCACCCACTCCACCTATGACTAGGATATTGTCAATTTAAGTATATGGTGACAAGTCAAGAAAAATCAAGTCAGAAGAAGGGTAACATATCTCAGCTAAAAAATTGGTTAATCATAAAGCTACGTAATAAATCGACTAGTTTTTAGATTATTATACGCTCAATCCTAACAGTGATTGGATGGTAATATGTTGTAACCCGAAGAGAGGATTAGTTAGGATCAACAAAGCGAAAACTGATAGTGCAAACGGTTGAGTATTTCCGAAAGTGTTAAAGTGTCCTGCTAAAGTCAGTCTTAAGTGCTGTTAGAGGTATGAGGGCGGTTATCACTTCCCGGTTGCCATCACAGTGGAAGGGTTTTAGACTTACCTAAATAGGAAATTGGATTAGAGATGGTCTTAGTGACCTGAGAGCGTGACCGCAGTGCTCGAGGGACAACTGCTTGAGGTCGGTCACACACGACCTTTTTATGGGTAATTTTTGTGTTAGCTCCGTACTTGTTGAGACCTTACCGCCGGAGACGGATATCCGTGGGATAAGGCGAGTTGTGTATTTTTAGGGTCGACCTATTCTAACCTCCCCCTCCTTGTGGGAAGGCAGCATCGCTGTTATGCTGGTTGTCTGAAGGAAACACCTTACTGCTGTCACACCTCTGTAAAGTCAGCATTACGACTTCTCCCTCGGTCCTTGGATTTGCTGCTTTTAATCTTAACGTTCTTCAACCGACCTGTCTGGCATGGTAGGAACTTGAGTAACGATTGTTCCAGCCAGTATAGCTCGATTGATTCATCACGATAGGCAAGCCCGATCACCACGTCAAGGTAGCAACAACGATCGAGTGTTCTGCCAAATGAATGATATGAACATGTTGTTGCAACTCGGTAGTTCAATAGTATTATGCTCACCATGGTAATTCATTTATATTAATAAATGTACACTGGTAAAGAATCTAAAGATAGAGAAAGCTCACCAGTGGTAAGTGGTTTTCGATGGTTCTTGATGACAAAAATAGTTTCATTATATATTCAAAAGTACTTACAAAACTATTACAATTTAGAGTGATAACTATTGCAATCCACTTCATTTAAGCTAATGAGTTGAACGAATTGTTACATATCTATGAATAAGATAAGCTCAGACATATATACGTGATAAACGAGAAATGATGAATGTTTCACTACTTAGAAATTAAATTCCAAGCTACGAAAATAACATCATGAAACCCGTATACCTACTTGAATTCTATATTCCCCAACTGGTGGTAGACCATTTTTGGTACAAATCAAGCCACTATTTGTTATTACATTAAAACCACCGTCTGTTATTAGCTGAAAACTAGTTAAAGATTCACGTTCATAAACAACTGTCCCATTTAATCCAGCATCCAAATCTAAAGCGAAAACACGTCCAACACAAATCACTGAATTCGAAGCTAAAAAGAGGAAATAAAAAGTTACATGAAATTTTCGTAGAAACTCGATTAGTTATTGTCGATATTAAACTTCATAATATTTCTCATTATATATATATATATATATATATATATATATCAAGGAAACGATCGTAGTAACTATATGAATCAAAATAATGCTGGTAGAATCCAACTGAAAAACTATTATTATGGAAGTTATTTGGGATGATACTAATTAACAGGTCACTCAGCCTCGACGATGTTTACCATTTTTAGTGAAAATAAATCAACAGACACAAATGATGTGTGAGTAAACAGACACGTGTCAACAGTTAAATTAGACAGTCGAAGAAAATAAGAAATCGACAGTAAATTGACTTTTCATCCATATTTTGGTACGTTGTAGACTTTCTTCAAGAACAGTGAAAAAATAAACAGAACAGACTGTATCGAATAACGGACAGTTAGTTAATTGACCATACAGAGTATAATAGCATAAAATTGATTGTGCATAAATGTGTATGCTTTAAGCAAATAAACGATAAACAGAAAAATGAAATGGAAGATTTATGCAATTGATCACGGGTTTAACATTCAATGCAAACAATAATCTTTCAGTTCACTTATAAAATAAAAATAAGAAGTGTCTTATTGAACAAAGGTTTTCTCACAATATACGCACTAAACTGTAGGAAGTGAATTTCAATGAATTTTTTCAGGTTTAAAGTTTCAGTACAGTTTTAAGCATTCAATAATTGAGCATTTGATTTGCATTGCACATACTTTTTAAAAATAGTTAAGTCTAATTAGTTGTTTAACTGTCATGATGTTTAGAGTGTTGGCTACTTTTTTTTTCTATTTCCGCTTGTAATTAGTAAACCCTCAAAATTTACATCGGATTGTGTCTGTTACAGACTAAATAAATTTCAGTACATTGTTTACCAAGCAATTACAGCTTTTATTTGACGGAAGAGATTCAAGTTTGAGTAATAGTAGCGAATAACGTGGGAAGTAGTTACACTAGTAGGATTTTAAATACAGATGTTAATTCGATATTATTATTATTATTATTATTATTATTATTATTATTACCGCAAATTATTTATACTAAAGAACATAATTCAGCGGAAGGTTATTAAAACCGAAACTTTAGACAATGAGCTGAATATAACTTTCATTATGAATAGAAGTACCTAAGGTAGAGTAAACTTACTCCACTGAAAATAAAAATGCTGATATATTCATTGCTATTATTATGACTTTAGTTGAAGTAACTTTTTAATAACTAACGACTACTAAACTATGACCTTGAACAGTTTTAGTATTATTCATAATATTATTCACACTATTATTCATGTATATATAATTTCCTAGGTATATACAACTAAATGTGTATGCATGCAGATTACAAGTAACGATGAATCATTGTACGTAAAAGAACATTCGAACCAAATATACAGGTGAAGAGAAAAAAAGAGGAGTAAAATGAGCAAGATGAACAAGGTGTGTACAACCAGTTAGCAAGTGGATAAATGAAGAAATTCCTACTGAAACTCTAAAATCTTTTTCTATAATTCATACTAAAAGTAACGTTTATGACCGGAACACAATAATCGCATTAAATGGTAAATTTAAGATACTATTCATAGTATCCTAATTAATATTATCCTTTAAAAAATCTGGAAATACGCAACCATTGAACTTTCATTACTCCATGTCAGTCAGTTATTATATATCATGATGTGTAGACATGGATACTTCCTTCTATCAGTTCACACTTTGGACAGATTACTAAGTCGATGAGAAAGTTCCTTGTTATTATATCACTGGCTTTATCGTGTTGCTATTCTCTTTAATGTTCCAACCAAAATTGTGATAGATCTCGTACACTGTTCAATTCAATAAACGGAAAATCCTCTACATTGTATTTATCTTGATTGCCTTTTTATTTGGTGTAATCTTGATGATAAAAATTTATTGTAGCTTACTACGAAAAAAGATTAATAGGTGTGAAACTGTTACTTATAACTGCTGTATTTTTTCGAAATATATTTAATTCAGTCAATAAATAACTACATGAAAGCATTAGAGAGATAATGAACACTGGCAAATCAAAAGTTATTTTTCACCAAATACCGAAAATAGCTATAGAATCACTGAAAATCAGTGAGAATAGATGACTGGTAGAGTTTGAATATGTCAAGTGAAGCGAACGAAAACTTGGTGGGAAAAACCAGTTTATTATTAAATACAAAATTAGAGAATGTCTTCGTAAAATACGAAAACCATACACTAAGTACTTCATTTGCACATCTTCCAATCAATTGTCCTCCACATCCTTCATGAATCTTCCAATTCTGTTTCTATCCCAATTTCTTTTTATTTTCTTTAGTTCAATCTTCTTACGATAAGTATTTCACTTCTGATTGGTGTCACATACTACTTACATCTGTCAACACAATTAGCACACACCACACAAGGAGATAGATATTATAGTGTTGGGTGACAGCACTGCTGTATCGCTATTTTCCTGGTAATGGAACTGTAGATGATTACTGGATTGTGATCCAATGGTTTAAATTATGGTGCGCATTGGGAGATATGCATGTCCTAGACCCAATCCTTGTAGGATCATGCTTAGACGCTACTCAGAAGCCCCAAAGTAGGACGGAGGACCTGTACAATCTTCACTGCTTGTATATATCTTTTGAGTTAATGTTAGTTTGTAATGGAAACTAAATTCAAATACTTCGCTATCATCTTACATCAATGCATAAACGACTTAAATTAATTTTTGGATATTATAAAATGCATTCTCTTTACTAATTAAGGATAGCTGTTTACATTTTCCTTCAAATGGAAAGATAAGATCATTATACCAGGTAAATTATATAAAACATATGTGGTTTAGACAGTACAATATCAATAAAAATTGGAATTTAGTAAATCCTATTGAGTTCTATTTGAAAAATATCAATACAACAGACATACTAGATTGAGAAATACCTAATACAGGCAGTCACTGAGTCAAAGATACCTAATCAATTTATATATATAACAAATAATAAAAGAAAACAGCTGTTACATATACACTTTCCAGTCAGGGGATGTACCACAATTAGTTCAAGACCATAATCAAAACAACATGTAATTACAAAGACATACAACAACAACAAAAAGAGAAAATTAAACCATAAATTGAATTATCTACGAATAAGGAATGGAAAACCATTTCCAGATGGTAGCCACCAAAATCAATGGTGTTGTATGACGTTAATCAAAAGAGAAAAAAAGAGAATCAACTAGTATGCCATGACACATACCAAGGCGACTTAAAAGTTCTTTGGAGAGTAAAATAAAACAAAGAGAAACAGTGAATAATTGGGAATTATTAAACATATTCGACTTATCATAAGATTATTCTTGGTATTCTGTAATCTGTTATCAAATAGCGTACTTATGAAAACTAGTTTTTATTTACCGAACCAATGAGAAAGTGTTTCAAACTATTTTCTGTTATCAATGTTAAAAACGATAGTGATACTTTCTGTTACACTGTACTACACTAAATAGAATAAATCATAAACTTATGAAACACTTTATATGAAATGGTTTATTCCGGATTGTTACAAAACAAAACTGATATAAAAAGATATTTATTATTGAAAAAACTTGTGATACATCTAGGATACAGACTAGGTGATAAAACCCCATAAGATATAGTGGTAAATCAACTAGAGTTGTAAAAGATAGACGGAAACCAATGAACAAGCAAACTGTTATATCAAGGTTGATTTTAGTGTGTATCACAGATCATTTCTCAATATATGATACACCTATTTTGTTAAGTGTCATTCAGTCAGTCAGCTACAACGTAGGACTAGATACATATCCCAAAGCAAAGAAATAAAATCACTAACTGTACAAATTGATAGTATACCTTATATTAAAAACTCATTCCAAATTTGAAAGCCCGGAAAGACATCTATTTGCTGTGTATTAAATTTTATTAGCAGTAATCGAAATTTGCACTCTCCTATTAAGCATAAGTAGTACTTTATAAACACTAACATGAGTTTGCTTAAGTACTCGTATGCTCACAACCGTATAATTGACCGAAATAAATACTTATACGAAGAATAGACAACTAATTAGTCAGGACTAACAAAGGAGTGAAAATATTATGTTGATATTTTGCCTGTAACCAGATGATCAGTAATCGTGGAACTAAATAATCCACTTCTAGACCCAATCAAAATATCCAGTGTGTCTGGTCAAACTTTATAACCAAATATACTCCAATTAAATAATCACTCGAAAATTGTTAAAGTAGGATTAGGAAATAGAAATTACGCATCCAACCAACATTAGATAAAACTTACCGTTTGTTGCATAATACTGAAAAAAGTAGAAAGGGATCTCTGCACCCATAATATATTTTGAAAATTCACTTGGAGCAGTATGAACGAACTGAGGTGAATTATCGTTTACGTCCATTAATTCGACTTTAACTGAAACTTCAGTTGATCGTGGATTTGACTGAGCATCGGATACGCTAACCTTGAAAGAATCATACACAATATAGATCTAACAGTCGTAAGAAATAAATGTTTACGTAACACTGTGAAATGGCAATTCATAAACTCGTCAGTTATTAATAATAATTAAACAATTTAAAAAGCTGTTGTTTCAGTTAAAGAAACAATTAAAGTGAAGGATTGTTGGAAAGTTGTTTCATTTTGTATTGAAACCTCTTATGGTGTGTAGCTCAGAAAGATCAATAATAGAGTTGGAATACAACTACCGAATTCCATTGAATAAATGACCACTTTCTCAGATTGAGACCAAAAGTCATTATCTTCTACTTCACAATGAAATAATATGTTACGTTGGGAAGCTCTCAGTTAAAGCACAATGTCGATTCAGCTTTCTCCGGCTATAAATTCTTAAACTGTGTAAAGTGCACGGTTTTGGGAACGAGGAGTTGGACAATATATCGTTGTAGTTATTCGTAATTTACCATGCCCCCTGAATGCCCTGGTACGGCCGAGAGTGGGGAGAGTCCGCTCTCCCTCTCGAAATACTCTCACACGGCCACGCGTATACAGCCTCTGCCAGGGAAGTCCTACTCATTGCCTTCTCGTGGCGGGGGTGTTGTTTACGAAAATGAGAGGACGAAAAGCGAATGTCCGGCGCTTTAACCGGATTCCAAATCAATGGTGCACATGGGCTCCAGTATCCTGCGGGAACGAATGGCGTATGAACCAATCGTTGGTCACCGGCTACCATGGGACTGCATCTCCTTACGATGCTCCACTGCCTTGTGGGTTAGACCTTTAGGTCAAAGGCTCGGGGAGTGGCCCCCTAAGATAACCACCTGCTTCGGTTTGGGCACCCGGGCAGTATCACAGCCCACACACAAATGATGAACTCTATGTCCATGGAAATTACCTTTGTCGCTTTGAAAAACAATCAATTGATTCAAATTATGATCACTACAATTATTGTCATTATTAATACTAATATTATTATTACTACTATTATTGTCATTATGGTTATTATTATTATTATTATTATTATTATTATTATTATTATTTTCCACATTATTCACCTTCTTTTATACTTATACAGCGGCTCGTCTTTGGTGGAATTCCGACTGTATCTAAACGTTCTCGAGTCACTGTCCGGTTGAAAATTGTATGTTACCACCGAATACGAGGACTGAAGCAGATTTTCTGAAACCACGTGCACCATTCAAACTGGCTGCCTTCAACGTTCGCACATTTATGCAGGTCGGACAACAGATAGGGCTGGCTATGTCTTTGGAAAGTCTTAATATCGACGTGTGTTGTCTATCCGAGACCCGTATTCAAGACTCCGGCGAAGTACTACAAATTCGATCTCCATCTGTCGCTTCAAAAAGCTTATTTCACGTGCGCTTATCCGGGGACCCTGTGGCATCTTCGTCTGGTCTTGCTGGCGTTGGTGTCGCACTAAGCGCTAGAGCTGAGGCAGCACTAGTCGATTGGATCCCCATTAACAGTCGGTTATGTGCTGTTAGATTAGAAAGTTCCATCAAAGTGAGAAGAAATCGGCGTGAGAAACGATGTCTTTTCGTCATCTCCGCCTATGCCCCGACAGATTGCAGCCCGGATGCAATCAAGGATGAGTTTTACCACCAGTTATCAGTTCTTCTCCAGAAAGTGCGTTCGACAGATATTGTAGTACTAGCCGGAGACTTGAATGCTCAGGTCGGGCGTCTAGGCACAGAAGAGAGTCGTTTAGGTGGCCGATGGGGACTCGTTGGTCGCAGGTCAGATAACGGGGACCGTCTACTGCAACTTTGCACAGACCACAACCTGTTTCTGGCTAGCACTAACTTTCGGCACAGTCATCGCCGATGTGCCACCTGGCGTCCTCCCTCTGCATCTCAAGCCTGGACTCAGATTGATCACATCGCGATCAGCTACCGCTGGCGTGGTTGTGTACAAGACTGCCGCTCCTTTTGGAGTACCTATCTGGACTCTGACCATGCCTTGGTCTGCGCCAATCTTGCCTTACTTTTCAGTGGACAACGAAGTGAACGCCATCAACGGATTGATGTTAGCAAGCTGGTTGCAACTTCTGTTGCAAATAAGTATCGAACCGAGCTAGCCTCTAGGCTAGCTACCACTCCACCGAAAAGTATAGATGAGCATTGGTTGCAATTGCATGACGCCATGAAAATGGCGGGAACAGTCAGTTGTGGGTTTGCGAAACGTCCCGCTTTTAAGCACTGGGTTTCTTCTGGTTCCTTACAACTCATTGAAGCCCGTCGGTCAACTCCGGGTAACCGTGAGTTTGACCATAAACGAAGGATTTTACGTAATGAAATCGGGCAAAGCTTGCGTAAGGACCGAGAAGCCTGGTGGTCGATGCGTGCTAATGAGCTGGAAGCAGCAGCTGCATCTGGTAACTACCGGAAGCTCTTCCAACTCATCCGAGCCACTGGCAGCAAGAAGTCTGGTGTGAGTGAAACAATCTGCGAGGGTGATGGGATGCCAATCACTAACATCCATCGACGTCTTGGACGATGGGCAGAATTTTTCGAAGGGCAGTTCAACTGGCCTGCTGCTCCGGCAACATCGGTCAGACTGTCCTGCCCTCCATGGCCGGTGACGACTGATCCACCAAATGAGGAGGAAGTCCGCAAGGAACTCCAACTCTTGAAGCGTTACAAATCACCTGGCCCAGATGACTTACCTCCGGCTCTTTTTAAAGATGGTGGTGACTTTTTGACTAAGGAATTGACGACGTTGTTTACAAAGGTTTGGGAACTAGAGAGTGTACCAACGTCATGGAATGAGTCGATAGTTGTCCCTATCTTTAAAAAGGGTTCACGTCGTTCTTGTAACAACTATCGGGGGATAAGTTTACTTCCGATTGCGTCCAAGCTATTGGCTTCCGTCATTCTTCGTAGGTTGTTCAAAACCCGAGAAAGATTGACTCGCGAGGAGCAGGCTGGGTTTCGTTCTGGTCGAGGATGTATTGATCATATCTTCACCCTCCGTCAAATGTTAGAACACCGCCATACTTTTCAAAGGCCAACAATCGTAGTGTTTCTTGACATCAGGGCTGCCTTCGATTCGTTGGACAGAACTGTTCTCTGGGATTGTCTATTGAAGAAGGGTGTGCCTGAGAAGTTTATTAACATCCTAAAAGCCCTGTATAAAAACACCTCAGGCAGAGTGAGGGCATACAACCACCTCTCTCCATTGTTCCATTCGAGCAGTGGGGTTAGGCAGGGTTGCCCAATCTCACCATTCCTCTTCAACTTTGCCATCGATGACATTCTGGAAACAGCTCTGATGAATGTAAGTAATGGTGGTGTGGATCTGTTGCCTGGAGAAAGACTTCTCGACCTTGAGTATGCGGACGATATTGTCTTACTGTGCGATAATGCCCAAGTCATACAATCCGCACTTAATCAGTTGGCAATCAATGTCCGTAGGTATGGTATGTGCTTTGCACCTTCGAAGTGCAAAGTACTTTTACAAGACTGGCAGGATTCCAATCCTGTACTCACCCTGGATGGTGAGCAGATAGACGTAGTCGAGAAGTTCGTGTATCTGGGTAGCTGCATAAGTGCTGGTGGGGGTGTGAGTGATGAGATCAATGCACGAATAGTGAAAGCCAGAGCGGCTTATGCCAATCTGGGCCACCTTTGGCGCCTTCGTGATGTTAGTCTGGCTGTAAAAGGCCGGATCTACAACGCGTCGGTGAGAGCAGTTTTGCTCTATGCTTGTGAAACCTGGCCTCTCCGAGTTGAGGACGTTAGACGACTCTCTGTGTTCGATCATCGCTGTCTCCGAAGGATTGCTGACATTCAGTGGCAACACCAAGTCAGTAATGCAGAGGTTCGGCATCGTGTGTTCGGGCACAGAGATGATAACTCAATTGGTGTCACCATCTTGAAACACCGACTTCGGTGGCTTGGATATGTTCTCCGAATGTCGTCCCAGAGAATTCCACGTCGTGCATTATTTGCCGACTCTGGGACTGGTTGGAAGAAGCGGAGAGGTGGTCAGTGCATGACATGGTGTCGTGGCATGAAAGAAAGCTGCAAAGGACTGGCTTGTGTTGGTCCTTCACGACTCCCTGGCTGGGGTCCGAGAGATGGTGCTACACAGTGGCTAGAGACGTTATCAGATATGGCTCAGAATAGAAGCCAGTGGCGATCCTGCTGTAACCTTCTTTTACTTTCTTCATAAAAAGTGGTTGTATCTTCCTTAACTGAAAGATTTCTTCTGATTGTACCTCTTCGTCATTACTCTCTCTTTCTTTTGCGTTCCTTAGTTTTTTTTTTCTTCTTTTTTTTTCTTTCTACTTTTCTTCGAATTCCCATTGTTTTGTGTGGCGCATATATATTGGCGCTCTCTTGTACCAATATTTATGTGTTCAAATAAATAAATAAATAATGTCACACAAACACTACAAACCGAAAAAACTGGTTCCAGAGTCTGGACCCTATTAAGGTATGTACAGGGAGGAAATGTAAGTGGCATCCTATTTTAAATGGACTAAATGAGATTTGTATTCAGTATAAAAACTTACAAATACCCATCAGATTACTGTGCAACACAACTTACCACAAGATTCAATTCGACTCTTCCAGTATCTTTTAGAACTGCTTCACGATCCAATGAACGTTCTGTTGTTGTCAAAACACCTGATAACATAAGTAAATATTTTAGAGTTTGACAACGAAATAGTGTTTAACAGTGAAGCATTTAGGTTTACATCTAACAAACACAGCTAATTTAACATATACAAGTAAAACTGAAGCTTACAAACACCTAAGAGACAAACCTGTTTTTAAGTCGACCATGAAGTGACCTTGAGGATCACCAGCTGTTATTATATATGTCAAGTTATTTTTATTTTTATCAGAATCAGAAGCGACAATATGAGCTACTACAATATTAGCAGGTGAATTTTCCAACAAGTGATGGCGGTATTGTGGAATCGGAGATACAGGAAAATGATCATTTTCGTCAACGACCTAAAATTCAAAAAACAGATATCAGTCAACAAAATGTATAAATTTGTGATGTATCACATTCCAAAATATGTATGGCCTAAATAGTGTAGATTGTGTAAGTTTGTGCAGAAAATTATTGTGCTATGCTTATTAATCTGTTTGCCTTTCATTTGACTTAAACGAACTTACTGAACTTGGTTAATATGGAGAACACAATGACATGATTTGTTTCATAAAATGAGGTAAAAACTAGCCTGTTCATACAGTAACAACAAGATTTTAAAAAATAACAATTAACAGTGTTTAGAAGCCCAGTATTAAGTTTAATCAGTGCAAAGTATCAGATAGACGCTTGATAACAGGCTAATTCATAAAGGACAATTCTTAACTCAGTTAAACAAAATATATTAGTCCTATTTCACTAAATTAACCCAACAGAACATAATCGGAGTTGAAGGATCCTGCTTATTTATTAAACCAATCCAAGAATTCATAAAGTACATGCTAAAATTAAGTTTCGAATAACGCAAAAATTGATGTCTGGTTCGATGAAGTTCATATAACAAACTAATTCAAGAATCTGTTAAAACTATTAAGACAAACATATGGAGTTTCATTTTGAGAACTGACATTTTAAATGGAAATTTGGAACTAAAATGGCTTCCAATGAGAAGAAAGTGAAAAATATCAACCAGACTGGAATAGGTATGACACAGATGTCTAAAACTATATTTACGAGGCAAAAATATTACATTGAGAGTGAAATTTACTTCAATAAATAGCTCGGCAATCGCATACAATGGTCCATTTAATTCAGACGAAACCATATAGGATTCCACGGTCTCAGAACCAAATGAAGAGGACGTGGATGGATGTTGCGATCCAAGCCCATAAATTACCAACCAAAATCCTCCATCTTCTTGTACTGACTCAGCATCTATTTCTCGTGTATTGAATATGAAACCTTAAAACGACATAAAATGTTGATGGGTTAAAAGCATCGCTTAAGAAGAAATGAGAATAATAAAAATAAATTCTGAATGATGTTAAATGTCTAGACATTAGAAGCGCATAATGTCCAAAGAAAAACATGAAATATGGAAAGAAACAGAACACCAAAATGAATGTTTTGAATAATAATGACGAATTAATCACCAAACAATAAAAGCCCATTGTAAAATCTTCAAGAGTGGAGAAACAAAAACAAGATGAATAATCACGAAGAATGACGCGACAATCCATTATGTCGATTAATCAGTCAGTAATAAGTGAATTAGAACCCTCCACATACGTGCATCGACTCAAGTTGATGCATCATATCAGCACAGAGAAATTGTCAAGACAAAGTTTAGAGTAGCAGCAGTATCATAATTGGTAAAAAAGATTAGATATACAAATGAATTGATAAGAAAGAGTAGAATAAAAGGTATAAGGTAATTTAAAACTCAAGCTCTAAGGGAAGTCAAACAGTGAATGTATATGCACCATTACTACCGACTCTAAGTCATGCACTTCATAGTCTTTAATTGCTGGTCATAATAACTGCGCTGACACAAGGCAGGTAGTTTGCAACCCAACAACACTGTCCAGTCTAACAGTCAGTGGCTCCATACACTAATGTCATGCCTTGATTTGGACTTCCTTAGCTTTCTTCCATCCTACTCCTATATTAGGAAACATGATGTGCCGAAAAAGGAGGCGGCTGGGCATATCTAATATATATCCTAACCATCTTGTTTGATGAAGATCGATTACCTCACTAACTGATTGGTTATCTTTTTCTGGTACCCTATGACTTACTTCAGCATTGCTCACTAAGTTGGTGAACGGTATCCTGTTTCCAAAGACACCTATTATCAAATACTGACAACCTACAAATGTACCTATTTCAAAAGCCATGTGTTAGAGCTGTAAAGTAGAAAAGAGCGGACTGTTGGTCGGTATACTTGTTCTGTGGTCAGTAGATTATAAGACTCTGCGCTAGGTCAGTCTTCATCAAATAGGGCGATATTTTCTACACACTCTAAGTCAATAGATGAATTCTCTGGTAGATCGATCCCTAAAACGTCAGAAGGAAGCACTATCGCCGAAAGAATATATATTAAAACATTAAATAAAAATGAGTAGTTTAATACTTTGCGCATCTCAATAAGCGTCCTTAGGATAGACTTTAAATAACTACCGAAGCAACTTTCAGGTACTGAGATTATACTTATCTGGATATCACATGAAAGCCTGAACCATCACGTCTGTACACCATACACTGATACATTCGTACACTAAAGGCTAAATGTGGGTAACCAGTGTGAGTCTAAATACTCTATTTTACTTTAAATAATCAAATATCATTTAAGAGTATTTTCCTTGTTCCTATAGCCTACGATAGGGCTTACGAAGCCCGGAAATTCATGACGAAGTTTTAATTTTGGAATTTATCTTCCCAAATCTGTGCTTTTCAGGTTTGTAACCCACTACAGTTTCTGACGTCTTGCGAAGGAAATGTTTACTTAAAATCACAGTGCACATGTTTTTTAAAGCTTGGAAGCAGATGTGACATTATTTAAACTAGTCAATATTGATAATAACTAATAATGATTTATCTTTTAGCTTACCATTATCGTTCACACCAAACAGACCGAATCCTGATCCCCCAACTACAACAAAAATTACATTGCTACCTTCTGCATCAATTGCTTTCAGTTGCAATTTAGATGCAAGATCACGCTTTGAAAAAACGAAACTTCCAGAAGGTTGGTTCTCACGTATCCATCCACTAAACAGAGCTGGGTGTGCCATAAAACGAGGTGGAAAAATATTCAATTTGACAGACAAGACATGAACAATGAATGAAATATTAGCATACAGCTGCGATGCACCATGATCCATAGCCCAAGCTGTAAGAACATGACTACGACTACTTCTATGCAAATCACATCCTGCAGCTAAACGAACAACACCAGTCATCTGATCTGTATGAAAACAATTTGCACTGCTCTCCTGCTTCCCGAATAGACTATATCTGATCAAAGCATTCATACCTTCATCTCTATCGGTAGCCATCAACGTAGTTATATAAGCACCTTCTGGGATATCTTCAGGCACGTAGACAACATATCCATCAGTCCCTAGCCAAGCATTCAAACCGGTGATTCCAGATGAATTGTTATATAGATATTGATGTTCTTGAGGTAGACCAGGGGAGTAAAATACTGGAGGATTGTCATTGACATCAGTTACGATTATATTGATACGCGTATTTGCGGAGCGTCGAACATCATAGTCGACCGCTTGAGAGACCTGGATAAAATCAAAGTATGGTATTTTAAACTGGGACTGTTGATGGTTTCCACGAGGATAGCCGACTGCAGACACCAATAGTTCATATACTGCTTGAGTCTCCCTATCCAATTTTGTTTTCAAACGGATTTTGCCTGTTCGACTATGTATCTGAAAATAAATAAAATTCACGTTATAGAGTTACTGAGTGGATTAATTACACATCATTTAACGCCAATAGAAAAGCGTTACAATCCATATTTGAAAAATTTCTTTGAAAGTGAAAATCAATGAAATATAAGGGTACCCGTTTAAGGCCTTAACAAAGAGGAACTTTAAATATAGTTTATGTCCTATAAAAATAAGTTCTCTTTACATGACACCTGTGACATTATCTTTCATTATGTATTACGTCATATAGTTCCTCGTACTGCTACGATATGACACACCGAACCTCCATACTGTCACTAGTCAAACTTTAAGAGTACAAATTAAGATCCAATATTCTACACTACTGGCACAAATAATCCTCCATAAATTATATTAACGTCAAATTATGTAGCCAGCGAAATGATAAATCTGGAGAATTATTTGATTTTACTAGACAATACTACGATCAGAATTATAACGCAACTCAGTTGATGAAACTATGAATTATACTGATCAACAGTAAATATCTCTGACCCATCAAAATAATGATCAGTATAATATGATATTAAGGCTACTGGAATTCGCTGTTAGTGTTGACAAATTCAGTTTAATTAATAAAGCAGTCGTTTTCACCGCGTAAAAATAACATGGATAATATTGTTACAGTAGTACACATTTTAATACCAAACCTTTCATGGTACCTGACTATCCAAGTCATACTTTGAATGATTATCTACATCAAGCTATAAACTGATAGCTGACAGCTTTATTTAGCCGAGGTCAAGTAAATATGCGGATCTATCATTCTTTTCACCCATAAAACAGATGTATCTAAACCCATAGTAGTATACAGAAATAGAACCATATCACTGTTATATTTTTTTGAAAACGGAATCTGTTTGCAATCTTAAATTAATGTCCATTTTGTTATACGATTACCGATGCACTATAATCAAAGCGGAGGTACAAACTATTGACATGAATAATAAATACCTTTCCCTATCCTGAACAAAAATCAAGGAAATCAATTGCTATTTTTTTCACTTTCTCAGTTCTGTTTGTTTAATTTAAAATTTGAATAAAATAGCCACACATTCATTTACGATAATAAAAATAGAACGTCCTAACACGAGGAATTTAGGACGATAATCAAATTTTAAGATGACATAAACAATATTTTAATATAGACATATCACTGAAAGGAAGTAAGCGTTACTGCTGCTTATTGTTAGTTAGTAGGCTTTTTAGCTTCAAACATTCCTGCCGGTCTATTATTAGAAATAGATGACAAACAATCTTCTTTTGTTTAATAGATCCTTCAACTGCTGTAGACATATGGGGTCTTATAAAAGAGTAGCCACATAACTCGATAAACTAGCTACATCTAATGATTATAGCGGTTTAATATTGAGACTGCAAATTGCGTTTATAACTAAAGTCCCAAGAAATGTTTGATTTATTCCAAATCTGACTATTATTCAGTGTAAACAAAACGGCAAAAAAGCAGACCTTATACAGTTTTACCTTGGTTTTTGGTGGAAAACACAGAGATAAATAATTGCAATAATCCTTCTCATTTGTATACATAAACCTAGATGACAACTAAACATATGGCTACAAACGTTCACAAATAAATCACACTTTCAGAATTTTCCCCAGACATATTTGAATGTGAATGCGTGGTTCCCTTGATATAAAATACTATAGTCTGTTTATCTAAATCGTGACATCATTCTCAATTTAAGGCAAATTCTAAGGTTCACCAACCATATGGCAAAGTTAACTTTGACCACTGTTCCAGTCGGCTTTTATGACACCAATAATCGAATAGGTCACTAATTAGATGTGAATCCAGCCGATAAAACATAAATCCTCTTACTAATATACCAATAAAAACAACTAACAAAAAGTAGCCCATATGACTAGCACATTTAATGATGACATCCACAATAGCACACACCAATTATAAATGACAATTTAAAACACAAAACAAAGTAACACTTTTCGCCATCATTATTTGCTTAAATATGCGACTTACCTTAAATACATCCTGAAAATTTAACAGATAATAACGAACTTCGCTCGTAACATCACGATCGACAGCTCGAACTTGACCCAATATTGTGTCAGGCTGTGCATCTTCGGGAACGTTAATAATACCTGAAGCCCTATCCTGATTAGGAGATGTTGGTATTGAAGGATTCGTAGAGATATGGATCATATTACTACTTTGTTGGACAGATGGATTTAAAAATTCAGGGGCATTATCGTCTAAATCATCAAGGAAGATATGCAGTGGAGAAAAAGTACATAACTGCGGTTGACCAAGGTCACATGCACGTAAAATCAAACTATAACTGGAAATTACTTCCCGATCTAAGGAGGCAGCCACTACCAGCGAAACACCACAGCAGAATGTTGTGTTGTTAACGAATTCCCTATATAACCCCGAATTCGGCAAAAGTATGAAAGCTTGTTTGATATCTACGTCTGTAATATATGTTGCTGCTTCGGTTTCGGAGGACACTGACCTCAAAGCTTCTAATCCATAGATGATCTGCCCAGACATTGAATAGTCTGGACCATCTTCATCTGAAGCCGCAAACCTCAGTACAACTGTACCTATAGGAAGATTTTCAGGAATATGTATACGAGTAGGTAAGTCCGTCGGGAATTGTGGTCGATGGCGATTCGACTGCAGCTCGTAAACGGTATTTTGACTAAGTAGAAATTCATACCTCTTTTTTTGTATTTTCAGTGCTTGTAATTTATCATAAACATGAGATGACTTGCAACGCCTTGTGAAATTAGTACCAGCTATTTCTTGAAAACGAACTAGATTTAATGACAATGTACATGATTCTTTGGAAACTTTTGTACCATCTGAAGCCAATAAATTAAGTATAATTTGAGCTCCTGGAGAACCTAAATAAGAACAAACAACATTTAGATCACCTGTTTGTTCCTCAATTTTGAAACATGGTCTTGGAAAACTGCTAGCTGCTATGTGGATTGTAACAGAACTCTGACCATCTCGATCCAAGTCCTCAGCGAAATACCGACCTATATTAAGGCTCGGTGACGATGGTGCTGCTTTGGAGAAAATGGAGCCCTCATCTGTGACTGGAAGTGAAATTTCACAAGAATCTTCCACAAAGACTGGAGGGTGTTCGTTAATATCCAGGATTCGAATGATGTAAACGGCTAAAACGCTACGAGGGAGTGGAATCCCAGAATCTGACACAAGTACGCGGACGATGAATTCTGTTGGCATAGTTTCTGCGTCGAGAGGCTTCGACACTACTAGCTTATCATTACGAGGACCAATTAATGTAAATGGTAAGATGTCAGCATCATATAGGACATAAGAAAGATCTGTATGTGACACATCAGGATCGTATCCGATAACTGAAAGTACATGCGAATTCAAAGAGACATTTTCAGGTATTTCAAATACAGAACCATTGTTTTGCACAACAGGATCTAAATCATTTATATCGAAAACCTCAACAATGATACGTGACTCTGGTGCACTGCTTAATAACAAATTATTGCCATCCACAACAGTAAAAGGAATGGTAATTACGTTATTGACATGAGCCTGAGGTGATTTTTGGACAGAAATATCATTCTCTAAATCAAGTGGCTGCACAACCACAAGAGAACCACTTTTTGTCAACCTTATCTTTTCTTTGGATTCCGATTTTTGATTTTGACTACGAAGATCTGTAAACACAAAGCTTGCATTGGTCATATTAAAAATCGCTGATGGCCTTAGAACCTCTATAGTTGAATTCACAATGGCAGCCTCTGATAAACGAATTCTTATTTCTGAGGGCAAAGATAATTTATATTTAGACTTGAAAACCAAAGGAATATTAACATTTAGACGAGACAAACGGCCTGTGAAAACATTCAGATTTTCATCCCATTTGGTAACAAACTTGGGGACCTCGTATGCTTCCAACGTTATCATCATCCACGAATTTAGTGAAATAGAGTGTATATCATACTTAGCCTGAATTACCCATTCATTTTTCTTACTTGTTGACACTAGTTCAAACTTTTCTCTCATATCTGGTTCTGAAATCCTGAGTCCAATTGCTGAGCCAACAGAAGACGGTGAGCCAACAACGTGAACACGAGCATAAGCTACACCGGCCGCACCCGGCATGGTAATTTCTTCAAGATGTTCAACCTTTATTGATAAATCTGAATGCCGGAACTTAGTGATCGATATTTCAACTCTTGTAGCAATAACCATATTACAGCGTATACGATCACTGCCGCCACGACTCACAACAGAAACATTGAAAGTATAATTTAAAAGCCCAAAATTTTCGATTTCCGATTTTCCGTGAATAAATTCTGGATAACCAATCTTTGCGTATTGACTGTTCAAAGGACGAGTGGGGAATATATCACCTGAATACAAGTCAACCCGAAAAGGTATATCGAGTTCGAATGGATCCATATAAAACAAATTCTGTGCACTTACGCTGGAACCTGAACTACTTGCAGACAACTTTCCTACAGACTGTTGGACGCTTATGTTTTCAGGAACATCGAAATGATGGAAACTTCTGGTGAAGATAGGACAATTTTCATGAACAGCTATGACGTTTACGATGATTTCGGTAGTATTGCTTAATCGGATTGGAGTAACTGATGAATGGTTGTGCGAAGTGAACACTGCCTCAACTTTGAATCGATAATTTGGTTTCTTCTTGATAGCTGGACTATCAGATGAAGCATAAAGATGCAAAAAGAAAAATTTTCCGAGTTTCTTGCAAGCAGCTCGAAAAGAACTGTGAGCATCAAAATCCATGATGTTAAATACGACATCACCAGATGGGTTCCCACTGAATGGTTCGGAAACACCCATATGATGACTGGTGGGAATAATATATCGGTGCAAACTTCCATCATTAATTAACACTGTTTCATAAAGTGGTGAAGTAAATGCAAAAGGAACAGAATTTTCATCAGAATACTTAGAAGAAAAAGTGGCAACTCCCGAGCCCATTTGGCAGCGAAATTGTAGCATCAAAACCAATACAAAATAATTGAAAATACAGTTTCTGAGAAGGTAACACTTATTCCAACGAAACTTCATCCACATTTTTGGAGTGTTTGAATCCAATTAGAAACAGATGAAGCATCACATTATGCACAGAATACAGAACATGTCAAAAAGGTGCAAATACAGAATTTCGAAAACCTGCTTATTTTACTGCGCACATTTGAGACACTTAAACAAGTTTTGGGAACTGATGAAAAACTATAGCGCGTCTTGTGTTTCATATGACGACTTACCACAGACTAAAAGCGTTTCGGAAGACCTTCTACTTACAGTCTTTTGAAATTTGTCTGAAATAATAATATAAATTCGTTTGCTTCTTTCTCACATATTTTGTTATTAAAATAGTTCACCGTTTTTGTGATGCAACTACAAATCGTCAGTTGTGTGAACAAACTTGTTAGGATTCAATTTATTTTATTTTCGAGAAAGCCAACTGCTTACAACAGACTCAGGAAGTCGGATCGTAAGTGGGAATGTGTTACGTGCTGCACGGATGCTGTAGTCCTACTGAGTAACAACATTGTCCTATTGACAGGTCTGCAGAGTAAGTTGTCAGCAAACTTGGAAAAAGACAGTCATAAAACGAATACACAAACAAGGGCGCGCAACGAAAACAAGAATAGGGATGTCAACCGGTCTACCATCGATGGAGCATGCATTAACACTAATTATGACATGTTAAAACTCAGCACCATCATTACGTCGACGGTAATCGACTCCCTTAGTAAACTCGGGTCTCCCAGCTCAGGGTCCTTGAATGCAACAGCTGTCCCCAAAAACTCTGTATGTGATTGTACCCACGTTAAAAGAGCTAAAAAGGACTGGGCGTCACCGTCTAAGCTTAACATCCCAGGTGTTGTACGGAAATCAGCTGGTGATTTGGTCGCACAGTCTACTCCCAAGAATTGGACAGACTAACCTTTAACACTGCAAAGTGTAAAGTAGTCCATCTGCGACATGTCGCAGACTTTAGTTACAACTCAGGAAACTCCTCTCTAATAGTATCCCTAGTCGAAAAAGATTTAGGAGTCCTGGTGCCCTGCGATTTAAAGTCTTACGCTAACTGTGACAAAATGCCTTTTGAGCAAACCTTGCACTGGTAACATTGGAGTGCATTTTGGCCAGTTTGACGAAAGAACTTTCCACATAATCTTCAACAGTTTTGTCCGTCCCCACTTAGAGTACAGAAATATAGTCTTTCCTCCCTCATTCCAAAAGGATAAGCACACTCTGGAGGGTCTCCAACGGCAAGCCACGAAGTCAGTTCGGGGACTCAAATTTAAACCTTATGAAGAGCGCCTCCAATCACTTAACCTTTACCCAATAGAGTATGAGCGTCTTAGAGGTGACCTTCTGATGTCTTACAGTATCCCTACAGTATCTTAAACACCTACTGAAGCTTAGTTCCAATAACAACCTAAGGGGTAACACCCGGAAATTGGAAACACAACAAAGCAGAACGGACTGTAGACACAACTTCTACTCCTTAAGAGTTGTCAAATGATGTAATTCGCTGCCGACTGAACTAGTCCAAGCGACGTCCCAAGAGTCCTTCAAGAGGCAACTTGATCTACTCTTAAGGTCTAAGGATAGTATCATACTATGATTTAACAATTTCTTTTTCCTTGTTTATCGTTAAAATACCTAGGTTCATGTCTGGAGTTATTCGTGATCCCCTGCTACTAAACACGGAAGCCTGTAGAACGAAAGCTTCTTCTATTCCGTCCACAACAATTTGAACAACTTGAAGTAAATTACTAGGCGGCTTTTCGGTTATTCGAACACTTTTTAATGTTATGACGTCTGGTCAGTTTCAGGATATGCAAGACAGAATGCTGGGCGACCTTCTTTAGTCCTGGAGTTGCTAGTCTTTCAGCTGGGTCAACTTTTTCGTAGATGGATTAACAAATGTGATCTAGCGGTAACTAAATCCCAAAATCAATAGTTCTGTAAGTCTTCGACATTGGATGCTGACCACATTAGTTTTAGTGGACTCACCTAGCTGAAGGTGCTAGGTAATGCAAACGCATCAGATCACGAGTGAGAACGCCGTGCTCAACATCCTCTGCAATCGCTAGCCAGTCTATGTCAGTTGATTCTCGACATATTGATAGCCTATCAAATATATCTTCGAACCATTTCGCTTCTGACTTTTGATTTCACCAGGTGGGTACGATTCATAGGTGTTACTGGTTAAAGCGCTGTCAAACTCCAAATAACTGTGACATCTTCAGGGGCTTCAATGACGTGTTGAGGTAGGGAATTCCATTGAAAGAAAACTTGGTGCAAAAGTTGGTAGTCAGGTGGCAAGTAATTTGTCTAGGGCTCATGAAACTTTTCGTCTTATGAGGAATTTACGATTCCGGAACTCGATTTGGTTGCGTTTATGCTGACTTTATTCAACGTGTCACTGTCTTTTAGATAGCAGCTCGCTGCTCATATGCAGTACTAGGGTTTAAGATGAACTAACACTGTATCCAAAGTCGGAGAGGTATGTATCTGTACCTTGGACCAGTACGCATTTGCAGGCATTTATCAGCGATCGCCGAATACTAGATCGTTCAGATAATTTTCGTGGATTATTCGGAAGATCGGTTTTTTATCCTTCATATTTCTATATCCTGATGTCGTCAGCATAAAACGAAACCTATGATGACGTAAAACTAGAATGGTCATTTACATGCACGTGGCGTAATAACTTGTCCAAGGCTGTGGTCAAACCAACTCCACCGGCAACAGTTTTCCATGTGGACAACTCGGATTTAACATATCCTCTTTTTGATCCTCGACTAGGAAATCACTTGTATACGAATGCAAGTTACCTATAATCCTTATGTCTCTTGATTCAGATAATCACCCGTTGTGTAGGAGTTTGTCAACAGTCTTACTGAAAGCATCAAAGACCACATACGCAAGTGATTTTTTATATTTTAGCGCAAATCAACTTTATGGAGCTACCATTAAGTTTTTGATGCACGAATAATCAGTTCTAAAACAGTGCTGCTCGTCAAGAAAAATTAAAATTCCACTCAGATATTTAAATAACTTATGAATAATATTCCCTAGAATCCTGGCGACCACCCTTGTTAAGCTTACGTGCTGGTAGTCCACAGATTTATGTCTCGTGCCCGTTTTGAACATAGGGCTCACTAGGACTTTCTCCCAGCCGTTTGGTAGTCGGCTCAGGCTACAGATGGACTAAAACATATATTAATGGTACACGCCATTTTTACGGGCATAATCTACTAATTACAACATTTGTTGGCTCACAGCATGCTTCCTAACTTATAAAGTTTATAGTTGTTATAAAGTAGACTCGTAAAACGCTTGTTGTAGACCATGACCTAGAGGAGACACTTACGTCAAGTTTGTTCCAGACGTCGAGAGTTCCATAGCTGTGCCATCAGAGCAAGATTCTGAAGAACGAAAAAAGAGAAACAGATGAGCAGTAAGGCGCTTAGATATGAACGCCAAACGTTGCTTAACATTTTGCAGTAGAACAGAGTGAGGTATAATAAATTAGATTAAATTCGTATTATCTCTTTGTAGGATGACGTTCCATATAAGAGAATGTAGTTATAAAGAACAATGAGTTGCGATATTTAACAAGTTAGAGTAAGCTCACATGAAGGAAGGGAAGTCAAGATTGGTACAAAGAAAGCGGTTTATTAGAAGGGAGTGTACATATAGAGGGTGAAGTGTTAAAAATACTAATAACTACATCTTTTATTGTCCTTCTTTCTTTTTCCTTTTTTTGTCCATCCGATGCCAACCACACAATTCTAGTGTAAAAGTCGACTTAGCATGTTGTGGGTTGTCTTAGTAGAATAGCTAATCCAGCACAAAGTTGGAAACATGAGTCTGAATGGTGAGTGTTGAAAGACAATCTATATCACAGATTGACTGACTTATTCTCAATCATAAAGAGCCTGATATGGACAAAATGTTCTGTCCCACAATCCTGAGTGGATTGAAGTCATCGCCCTCACAATCAATGCTTGCTGGTCAGTAACCCCACCCTCCCTCCTTTTGTGATGTTAGGCTCATTTAAGCTTATTTTTGTATGTATGTCATACCTCGCACAATCCTCTGTGTTTCACATCCTATTGGAAAACACTATTTCTATAAGTGCCATTTTACAAACTTATCAGGCAGTTACAAGTTATGGACTGTGGGTAAGGCATCGACACAGTGATTTAATTGACCATAGTATAAAGTATAGATTTTAATCAGAGTATAAGCATTAAGAAGGGTATAGTGTAGGATGGTTGTTTATTAAAGCAGGCAGAAAAGTATAGAAGTATATGAGCTGCAGATAAGTTAACTTGTGAAGAAATAATATTAATTGCTGGTCAACATACCGTACAGAAGAGTGAAAAACTAATAAAGAATAAACAGGAGGAAACACACTGACTTGATGCTTGTCCTAAGCAGTTGATGGATAAGAGGCTCCGTAGATGCAAGACCACTGGTAGTAGGCAGTCGACTGTGCGGTCCTCTTTACTTTTAGTGTAGTAGTGAGTGTCCCTTAGCGACCGAGTCTAGTTGAACAGTATCGATAGGTCCAGTGAGTTACCTGTCTACTTCAAGTGAAGAAACAGGGTGGTAAAAGTAACTAATACAACTGCAAAGTAGGAAATTTGTGATATGGTTTGCCAGCGCCTTCAGAATTTTAAGATTTATTTCATCAGGTTCGCCTCTAACTAACCCGGGATATCAAGTTCTCTAGGTGTTAAAGCGCCCAAGCTGAAGCTGAATGAGGTTTTCTGTATGCAAGAAGAGAGCTTCCTTAAGGCACATGCATTTCTAAAGTCGTATAAGAATACCTAGACTTTATCGCAATCGGCTTCAACTGGCGATGTAGTACTGAAATCCCTATATAATCTTACCGTTTCACCTCCTTTATTAACCCTGTTTATGTAAGGATATAAGCGTTTTGGGTGTTCTACATACTTATTAATAGGCTTTCCTTCACATAACCTTCTAGGTTTGCGTGGGGCCGAGACGTGAATAGTCGACCTCTCAATACTGAGGTTTTGTCTCATTAAATTTCAGCAACATAAATCTAGCTCAGGCTGATATGTCATTGCTGACAATGATATGGAAATGAAATCTAAAACTTCACATCCGGTTTTGTCCAGAAG